CCGGCACATCCCTCGGCTTGGCAGATTGGCATTTCACTGTCAACAGGACCCGAGTTCCATTGGCTTCGCTGTTGGCCGGAGAGGAGATCCTGGGAGGCAGCATCGCAGTCCACACTTCTGTCGACCGGCGACAGCACACATCGTTTCGTCGTTTGCATTTCTGTTGATTTTGGCGCAATGACACGCAGCTCGTTACAGTTGCCGGTCGACTGGTCCTGGCCAGTTGTCATTTCACCCCGACCCCTGATCCCCGAGAAAGGGATTTGCGCAGCAGTTCTGACTACACTTGAAAAGTAGTGCGACATACAGAAATGAAGGGTTTCCTGGCCTAGTATCAGTAGTAATTGTAGCTGTCATTTAGTTAAAGAAAAACTGATATTACTATATTTCTGTATTACATGATTCTGTTGCAATTTAAAGAAAACAAATTCAAAACATTTTGTGTGATGGGTATTTTAAGAAGCGAACGTATTCCTGTTGCTCTGACTTTTTTCGCAACTGTATGCAAAACTGTCTTTACATTCGAGACATTTTTAGGATACTCTTTGAGGGAGTGTAAATGTCGCCTGCTCGGGAGCTTACGTCCTGTCAGCTCTGCATTCCGAATGCCATTCAGGGGCGCCCAGGAGGATGAATGTCAGGAGGGATAGAAAAGGGGAGACAGGGAAGCCAGTCGGGATGGGTGTTAATGGCGCATTATCCCTGGCAAGGCTGGAAGGATCCGCTGGAACGCAGTTCCTTGCGGCAGTTGTCAGCTTACTGGAAAGTTTGTCTCCATCACGGCCGGCAGTTAAATTTAATTACGCTGCCCGAAAAGCTGACCCCAGCCCCGTTCGGAGGCCCCGTGTAACCGGAGTCGCAGGAGGAGCCGTAGGCCGCCGCTAATGATGTGTGGAGCTGTTCATTAGGACGTGACCATCGGGGCCATCCATTATCCCCGAAGCTGAAAGAGGAACTTGGCCAACAAGGGGCGCACTTAGTTGAAACTTAAGAACTTGCCCGCCAGCAACTCCGAGTTGGCTAAGTCGCCGCGAACAGAAGTTTCTCATTTCCAGCGGATGTGATTCGCATTGGCCACTGTCATTCGCCACGGGCCACGAGTCCGTGCAAAGTTGCACGTAAATTAATGCAGCCTGCGTGGCAACAGCCACGTATCCCGCTGGCCATTAAAACACTTTTTAATGCCGTGGCATTTGCATTCAAACGATCCCAGATTCTCTGTCTATCGAACCGAGCCCAAAACGGCATTAACATCGAATATCGTCGAAGGCCGTCGTTCGGGATGCGCAGTTATAAAAATTTATTACTTTCCGATTTGTTCTCGCCCATTTTGGCGGAGCCCACCGAGTGGATTCCACCGGATGTGGATGTGATCAAGAGCTATAATGGGGAATACTTGGCGGGGGAATCAGATTGGTTCTGGCTCGGTTTTATTGGATTGAAACTCAAAGAAGAAACCCAACGTATTTCTTAGAAAATCAAATATAGATGGCAAGACAACATTTACTTTACGGGTATAAAGCACAATTCGTTTTTCCATTCAAACCTAAGGGTCTAATTAAAGGGTTTGTGAAGGCAAAAATAAAGCTTCAGCCATCGTTGCTTGTGATTATTTTGAATATTTTGCCCAGCTGTAAACAGCTTTACGATTCGGAATTATTTTGCATTTTCAGTGGCGGCAATTCAGATGAATGTGTGCACTGTGCTCGAAAGCAAATAAATATGAAAACAAATTCCGGACTGGTTGAATCCAGCATTGAATTGATCGCGGTGACTCATCAATTAGAGGAAGACTTCTGACGGGGAGTCTAATGGCTTAAGTCAACAGAAGAATACCGGTAGTCAGGGGGCTTATGGGTGCCAAAAGGGGGCATTATCACTTGCAACAACGTTTGCCCAGATGACTGTTCCGCCGATTTAACTCGAGCATAATTGATGCAAAGCCCCAACTTGTTAATTATGCAGGCAGACGAACGCCATGAACGCCATAACTGACCAGCTGACTGAACCTAAAGCCGAGCCGCAATTAATGTGCATTTCACGGCGACTTTCGACTGGTGCTCTTCTGTTTGCCCAGTCCATTGGGTGCCACCTCCCCCTCCTCGTTTCCCCCCCTTCTTTCCCCGTCACGTGCTGGCCCTGAATCATGCCGCGATGCTCGGTTCTATTTTGGTATTATGTAAAGTTCTCAAATATAATAATTTCTCATTTCGGATGGCGATTGGGTGGGTGGCTGGCAGGGAGCAATCCACTCGGATCCCCGTCCTCTATTGGTAATGGCCTCATGCGGGGCCATCAGTTGAGCGAACTAATCCACGCAGGGAAGCTGCAGTCGAACCCTGGAAGTTTATCCGCCCCGATCAATGCAAATTTAATGCAATTGGGGAGCTGTTCACTCCCGGGGAGTTGGCTCTTCGCCTCCAACAACTGTTGCTCGGATGCGCCATCAATTCGAGGCAGGATAAATGTAATTGAGGGGTGCGATACCATGTGACCATGTGGCTGGGACACAATGCGAGGACAATGCGATGGCAATCGGAAAACGAAAAAGAGCGGAAGGGGGTAACCAATATAAATGCTCACACAGAGAGAATCCCTTGAATAGCTGGCAATAAAGAAATGGTTTAGAACGGCAGAGTACCAAATTCAGAACTCCGAGCCAGAATTTGTACTTCCCTTATCAAAATCAAATCAATTGTCAGGAGTACTTCTGGTTTCTCCCTGTGCACGAGGCACGGGCTCAAAGAGCCGCGCTAAATTGGCCATCAATTGGAGTCCACTCAAGGGCGCCTGACTTTCCTCCGGTTCAGTTGAGTTCACATCGCTCTTTCGCTTTATCATCAGGTTGTAAAAGCCCCCATAAAGGCTGCCATTAAATGGACAAGTGATGTCAACATTAGGTGAGCCACGCCCCCTCCCTGCCCTGCCAGCACCACCGCCCCCGGACACGTGGGTCGAACTCATCCACTGGGATTTGCAATATGTCGCCAACATATTCATCATCGCTCCCCCGCTCTCCCGTTCACCTCGGGTAAGCTGTCAAAATATTGACAATCGGACTTTAGTTGGCGTGAAGGTCGACTGCACATTAACTGCAGGCACTCAAGGACATCCATTCGGGTGGACTGGGAGGGGGCGGTTACAGGGTTAGGGCGTGGCTTTTGGGCATCATAAATCTGCGACACTTTGGGGCCATCTTTTCGCGACCAATTTACACAGGGAATTAGCGCGCGATTATCTTCTAATTGGATGCTAATTCCCAGCCGCAACCCACTTATGTATATATTCCCCCGATTCCGCCGACTTCAAGCTGGGGGAGCTGCTAAAATCTGCGAGTGTTTGCCACTGCGTGACTTACTTTTAATTCGTACAATCGAATCGAAATCAGATTTGGCCAAGCTGTTGACTTTGCCACAGCAGTGAGCAGTTTGGATATCGCCTGCTTCGCGGTTTTGAATTTTGGCAAGTGCTGACGTTTCATCCGGAGGTTGTTGATGCGACTGCCGAGTATTTATAGAAGCAATTGGGATGGACGCACCAGCAATCGGGGTGCCAGGCGGTGCCATGAGGAGCCTAATGAACTTGGCTCTGGATCTGGATTTATCGTCTCACTGCACACGTTTCCCAGAGGGACGAAGGTTTTCACAAGGAAAGGATTGCCTGCCAAGAAGAGAACTTGGGGGAGCCTTCGAAACGTGCCTGAAGTAACCATTTAGTTACACAAGAAACAAATGATGCAAACTATGTGGGATCATTCTAAATGGGGCCAACTTTACGAGCTTTTCCCTTTAACACGAAAGTGGTTCTCATTAACATAGTTACAAATCGTAAGCCATAGGTTAATCATATGAATGACTTCATCGTTTTTCTAATGAAGTTCGAGCTTGTGTAATTTGAATGTCCCTATATTTATCCCATTATCGAAGCAGTATCACCGCTTCTGTTATTTTTGCATACGGCTATTCAGAGGCGCAGTTTACAAGCCGGAGTTGTGATAAGGCACCATCGCAATCAAATAGTGAGTGTTGAAACGGGGAAGTCCCCACAACTGGTTGACACAAACGCGGCATATTCATGCTCAAAAAATAAACATCGCGGGCTTGTTTTATTTATTCTTTATGAGAACCTCAGGAACCGTGCGATTATCGACTGCTCCTGTGTGAGTGGCAACCCAAATGCAGCGGGTCCTCTGCAATTTCGCATGCAACTGACTCAGAATGCCGCGTTCGTCGGCGTTTGGAGGCTTAACCGGAAACTTTTAATTTAATTAATTTATACACAAAGGCGCAATCAAGAGCACTGGCGACTTGAGGCGGTCGAAGGGCGGGGGGCGGTGGGCGGAGGGGCGGCACCATGCGAATTGCGGTTACCAGCGCCGTGTGCATCTGATAGATAGATAGATACAACCGCTCCCTCCCGCCGTCCAGGCGAACCCATTGCGATAAAGCGCTTTTGATGTTCACTCGCCCGGTGCGGTTCATTTCGCTTTACTTCGCGTTGTTTCCCATCGAGTGCAATCCAAAAATGTGCCACAAGTCAGAGGCTGCGGCCCAAAAGATACAAGATGTATCTCTGAACGTAAACTAAACTGCAGATATCTTCTGGGACACCGGAGGGGGCAACAGGTGAACTTTGTTTATTGATGCACTCATTGCACTAATTTGTTTGCTCAGGATGATTTAATGGGCTGCCCGCTGGCAGGGTCAAGGGTGGATGGATGAGTGGATGGATGGATGGATGGATTGATAAACGGATGGATGGATACACAGATGGATGGTCGATGGCCGGAACTGGATGTTATCAATTAGCCAACCAGCAGGACATGCGATACTGGCAACAGGTGAAGGCCTCGCGGCTGCCAAAAGGCAAATATTTAGTTCCCCCTGCGGTTAGCATAAACATAATGCTCTGTCTGGGTATTATTGATTTTATTTCGGGTCTAGCATATGTTAATTTGTCTGATGTTTCTCTTCGCACAAACAAGTAAAGCATTTAATTACCTGGAATCAAACTAAAAGCTGAGGAGGGTGCTGCCAAAAAACAGAAGGAGGAGCCACAGGTGGTGTTGATTTCGCTGGAGGGAAATCCAGCGAAGACTTTATGATCTGCGATCCAATCACCTGTTGCGCCTTGATAATCTCCCTTTGGCTCTTTATTTTTTAGCCTCCGAGACGCTAATTCAATTGACACTTTTTCGGGCTCCGCTGGCTGCCATAAAAACTGGATGGAAAACTTTTCCAAGCTTATTTAGTTTGGCGTTTCATTAAGACAAAGCACACACACACTGGCACGCACACTGGATTTGTTTATTAGCTGTGTTATTTATTTTTTATGGCAGTCGAAATTCAAACTAAAAATTAGCCACCGTTCGATACGGCGATTCGATAGGCGGATATTCGGATATGCGAATATGCGGATATGCGGAGTATCCACCGCGCTGGCCAACGCTCGACGGCAAAATGCGCGAGCGATTCGCACGGACAAAAGTGAAGCGGTTCGGATTCGGGTCGCGATTCCCGAATCGGGTGCGACTTGGGGCTCGGGTGGATGTGACGGGCCCCCGAGCCGCGGACGCCTGTTGAGCGCCGGGAAAGCGTGGTGAGTTGCAGTTCTACGGCTTGCCCTCCGTCCGGATGCGGCCGTAAATGAAATGGGCTGCTCTTATTCTTTATAGCCTGCGACTTGTGGCCGCCGCCGAGATTCCCCTCTAATTCGGGCCATTCGCGAGTATTTTTTACACATAATTGATACGTAAACGCAATAGGCAGTAAGTATTTTCCGGGAGTAAAGTAATGAATTTGAGTGGCCGCAAGAATTGACGGGTCTCTTAATCAATCGACTCATTGAAATTGATGGCCCAGCTGGTTGATCCTTGGTTTCGAAGGGGTGGTGGTGGCGGCGATGGGGAGGCCCTCGAGGCGGATGTGCCCGAGAGCACGCAACCCCCGAATAATCGTTTGGCCAAAATCAATTTGTGCCATTTTGTTGCTTTATGGGCTGCCATCTCAGCGCCCGAATGGAGCCCCATAAAACCCCGGACCCACCGGCTTGTTAGCAGTTCATCAAAATTGTTTGCCGCATATTAATTGCCCGATGTTATGGTGCGGTGCTACTGTTCCGCGGAGTGCGATCGCACTGTTCGCGTATTGTTATTACTGTCTCTGCCATCGACTGCGAATATCGTTTTATTGACATTCTGCGCACGTGACCCGCCTGCAGAGATGTTTGCCTACTGCCGAGCAGCCGAGTAACTAGTCAATGCTCTTGGTGGGCAAACAAAGCGACGATGCTCGCTGCAGCCCACCCGGCGTATACGTAATAAAGTGAGCAGCACTTCTGGCCAGATTCGCGGGATCTGTCGCCTTCGAAAGATCCACAGGCCCACGTGTTGGCCATTTGCACGTCCATCTTGGGTGCTACAAGGGGATTTAAATGCAATTGACTCGGAACGACGTCAACCCGCACTATTTACGGCCAAACTTTAATTGCTTTTGAATTTTTAAAAAATTTTAAAGTGTGCGAGCGCGAAAGGTGCAGAGAGCGAAAGGGACGGCGGCAAAAACTTCACCACAGCAGCTTTTCTTGGTTTGGTTCAGCCTTTGAGAAACTTTTTCGGGTTCGTGTCTATGCTTTACTATAAAATAAAGTTAGCTTTTATATAGTTTGTTCTTCTAATTTAATTTATTGCGTTCATAATTTGTTAAAAACTTCACTGTCATTTTTTGAACTTTGCATCCTAATGTTAGAGACAATTGAGCTCGGCTTAAAATATAAAAGCAAATGGTTGTCAGAAGGCAATACAGTTCCTTAACGAAGGTTACCAATTGTCTAAAACGGTGGACCTTTTAGCTGTATATGACATACATATTTTGGCCAAGTTATACCAAAATAACAAACATTGTTTTAGCTAAAAAAACCTTTATCATTTTTTTTACCCAAAAATATCAGTATTTTAACTCTAGCAAAAAAAAATAAATGTCAGATTTCGGAATGGCATACCTCGTTGAGCTCGACTTAAAGTTTCCTGTCGATTCATGTACTCACCTTATTTTTTTTATTTTGACCATTTTTCAAAAGAAATTGTGATGGTACCCCTTACAAAAAATGCAAAAATTTTAAAATAATTAAATTTTGTTGGGTCCTGGAGTAGGTGACATGGATCGATAGATGAGGTTCCCAGTTATGTAAAACGGTGGGCCTTTTAGCTGTATGTCATTTTTTGGCCAAGTTATACCAAAATAACAAACCTTGAAAATGTGTGTTTTAGCTAAAAAAAAAAAACCTTTACCATTTTGTCACCCAAAAATATCAGTACACTTGGCTCTCGCTTAACACGGGGGTTACGTTCCTAGAAATCCTCGTTTTAAGCGAAATAGTGTTAAGCGAAACATGAATTCAGTACAAAATAAGGGATTACGATCGCAAAATTCAAAATTGGCAGCAAAAAAATTTTTTATTGTTCAAATTTGGTCTGTTTTTATTAAAATTTCATTAATTTCTTCAAAATTAACAAAAAATTTATTATGCATATGCCTTTAAGAAATGAATAACATTCATATTTTCAAAATTAAAAGTTGGTATTAAATTAAAAAAGTTGGTTCATATAATTAATTAACAGGTTAAAATTTATAGAAAATTAAAAATTTTAAAAAAGTAACGAGATCTTATGTTTTTATTCATATAAAACTTGAAATGCTTTTGGTGGCATTTAGTTTAATCCAGTTTGTTTCAACATGTTTTCTTTTTTGGTGGCTCCTTATCAAAAAATAAATGCTCTCACTCAAAATAATAAAAATATTATTTTTATTTTACTCCTGACTTTTATCACAACGCTCTCAGAGATATACTCAAGCGATGCTTCTCGAAGGTTCTTTGAATATCGCGGCTCTAAAAAAAGGCAAAGTAATGCATTTGATGCATTGAGGTATGTAAATGTTGTGTTCACAAAAAAATAGTTTTTGCTATTGCATTTCAATAATTTATTGAACAAACAGATGTATATGTTGACATAATTGATAATCAAATTTATTAATAGTTTTCGATCCATCCCCGCAACTCGTGGGCTTCTCTAATATTAGGGTTGATCTGCACATACGCGTACCAACTGGCGTTCAATTTCATTTCTCCGTTATGGAGCTGGGCACGTGCCCCCTTAACAAGAATTACGTCACCGGGTTGACCCGCAAAGTTAAATGCCTCCTTTTCCCAAAGATTTAGCGTGACATTTGCTTCACTGTCATCAAAAAGCTCAATTTCGCGAATCAAGTGACCACCTCTTTCATCAATTTCGTGAACTTCAGCGCAGATTCCGATGACATCCACTGGCTCCAGGTTTGGAGTTCTAGAAATCTTGTCGAGCGGCACAAAGTTATATATTATTTTACGAATATTTGGTACCCCCCGCACATAGTTTTACAGATGTATTATCAAGAAATAAAATTTCATGCGGGTTATCCACCACTTTGAAGCCCTTTATCGCTCGAATCATCTCAAAACAGGAAAATAAGTATACGTTGCCAGCTTGAATCTGATTGTAGAAAGTATCGCACAGATCGTCAAACACCACGCCGGTTATTTGGCCAGATTCATCCAAAAGGTTCATCAGAAAGACCTTTCCAGTTTTGTTGTCATTGTGATACGGAGTTATCTCCGATTTCCATGTAACACGAGCTCTAATAGGTAAATTATTGTAACGCATTGGCTGCAAGCCCGAAATGAACTGTGATATTTGTTAAAAAACAATAAAAAGTAAAATAAGCTCTTGGTTTTTGTACTTACACAAATTGCTGTTGAGTTCATTTTATTTCGTGAGACGTTTAAGACTGTTTTGATTGCTTCCTGTTAAAAAAAAGAGAGAAACGCCTTTTTTCAAAAACTTGTGAAATTTAAGGAAAATATAGCATAGGCTGGTTTGAACCTGCTGCAATGGATAATGCTCCTAAATTGTAATCAAACATTAATAATCAACCGCTCAAATAGGAAAATCAACAACAAATCTTAAGTAAAAGCTTTTGAAATGTATCTTGCAGAACGCCTAAAGAAAAAAATGGAATTCTTATCTAACAAAACCTGCACTTTTGACGAGAAAATATATTATAATATAATATGTATTTATATATATATAATATATTATATTAGATTATAGATTATTTTTTTTCAAAAAGCTTTTCGAGCGCACTTGCCGATCCCTATGCACTTTGTCTCCCGGTTTGTTGACGACTAACTTGTTGTGCAAATTTGCGAGCTTGCAATCCATTTTTTTAGTGAATGCGGTGATTCATTCAAGAATAAACAAACACAATGGCAACACTCTAAACAAATTCTATACCGACTTCAGTAATGAAGCATACATCGAAAAGGTGATTTTTATGTGTATTAAATTTATTCTTCTCTTGAAAAACCCGGTATCAGTAGGTGGTGTTCTAAGAGCAGAAGAGAACCTTTGTGACCAATCCTAAGTAAAAGCCAAGCTTTTGTTGTCTTTCTCATTCGACCCTGACTGAAACTGTTTGATTATAAATAAAATGAATCAATTTCAACTGAGATAGTGGTATGCATTATATTTAGTCGATACACTGGTATAACCCCCGAATTAACAATATTTTTTCGAAACTTATGAATATAATGTTATGAATAAATGAATATCTTTTTTATTAGTTTACGGTATATGCGTGCTAAAATTAATTAATTAGAAGAGCCGATGCCAGTGATCTCCTGCAGCTCCTTTAACAAGTGTTTGTTGTACTCCTTATAATTAATGGGGGCCACAGACTGCACAGTAAGCTTGTTGCGGGTCATGTCGCCGTACACCTCGTTCTTGCAGCGCAACTTAAAGATGTGCGAAGTGAAGTTGAGGGCTGAGAAGATCTCCTCGGCCTTGGCCTGGTCGTTCTCAAGGGCCTCGCCAACGACCTGCGAAGAGTGCCCAAGCAGCTGCTCACCAACCTCATTAAAGCTGCTGACCCAGCGGTTCGAAGTCCAGTCGCCGATGCTCATCTGCAGAGGTGTAAATGTTTTAGTTGTCGACTATTATACGGACAGATAGTTTCAAGGCTCAGAGAACTCATTTAATTAATTTAGAGTGTACAACTTAGAAACAAAATGGTATATTCCCTATCTTCATATTATATCCTTTTATCCCTATATCCAAAGCATACTCACGTTGAGAAGCAGGCGATACTTGAAGTTGGGGTACAGTGCGTTACACTTCTCGCAGCGGTACTGGTCGTTGCCCTCGTCGATCACCTTCTTGTTGCAGTCGCTCTGTGGGCAAGCACGGTAGAACGAGTTCTCCTGCTTGACGATGTGCACCACCGCCTTGCACTGGAAGAAGTCGGGCTTGTCACCAGCACCGAGACCGCGCAGACGCGCATCCTTTAGTGTCATCCAGTCGGCGGAGAAGTTGCCACCTCCGGTTCGAGCCGAGACCATGTTGGCAACATTGTCACCTCCTCCGTTGTCAAACCAGCCGCGCAGCTTATGGGCCTCGGGAATGTCTGGGTTGATCTTCATGATGGAGCCACCGCTAAGGCTCAAGGACTTGCCGCCGTTGAACTCGTTGATGCGGGTGCCCTTGACCATGACCACGGGCTGCACGTGGCCGTCAAAGTTGACGGCGTCATCGCCCCAGATCGTCAGAGTGATGGCCGCATTGCTCATGTCTACCAGCGTAATGTCCCGCTTCGTGAACTCCTTATTTGTGGAGCGGGACACGAAGGACTGCACTTCGCCGACCTCCTTGCAAATGCCAATTGTATCCACCACCGCTTTGTTCTCCATGCTGGACACATCGGCAATGGGAATAAGGTTGTATTTGATTTCCGGAACGGGGTCGCCATCGGCATCCTCACACAGCTGGACAACTGTTTCGCCCGAAAAGGTCATTTCGTAGGCATTGTTCAGTGTCGAGTACTGTTTGTTGGCCGGTTTTAACTGGCATTTGGAAATGTAGTAGACGCTTTCCACTTGGATGAGGTCGTAGAACTTGTCACATTGCTCCTTAAAGGCCGTGGCCCGAATTTCGCCAGATTCGTCCATCAAATCCATGCTGAACAGCTTGCCCTCGCCCCGTGCATTGCTCCAGGTGCGAATGGCCGACTTGGAGGTTACGCGCGCCTTGATCACCCACTTGTTTTGGTAGGGACTCAGGCTGGAAATCGGATGGGTCAATCCTGCGTTAATCGTGCCATTCAATGTTACATTGTTATTATTATTATTGTTGTGTACTAGTTCTTTTTTGGCAGCGGGCTTAGCCGGAGCAGGAGCTGCTGCTTTGGGCGCCAAATCCTGTTTGGCGGCATTTTCATAGGTCACAGGCTCTCCGATTTTAGCCTTTACCTCGGCGCCGGGATTTAGGACAGTCAGTTCGGAAATGATGAGGACGCGCCTTAAGTAAGAGATGGCGGTATTATAAAGTCGAAAACATGTGGAACCGTTCGACTTACTTTCCAGCACCGTCCTTGCCCACCATTGAGGTGACATACTTGTCCAGCCGGACAATGGTGAATTCGTCCAACTCTCCGTTGTGCTGCATCTGATTCAGCTGGCTGGCCAGCATGGCATAGCTGTTGAAGTACTTGCCGTCAGAGATCAGAATTCGGTAACGCTCCGCGTCCGCAGTGCTATTAATCTTCTTGATCGCCAGGATCTGGAGCACCGGACCTTCCACCATCTCGCCGTGCATGATGCGCTGTCTCAGGTAATTGGATTTGTCACTACTCAAAGCCTTGAACGCCAGGCAGGCATACTTACAGCAATTACTCCGCCGGTTAAAGTTGCCAGGACCATTTTGCGTATTAAGGAACAATAACGAATTTCAACAGAGAATAAAATTTCTGCGACGAGGGCTGGGAGCTAATTGATGCCAGAAGAGGCGGGAAGGGCTGCTACGAAATTTCGAATCAGTGGGAGTGAAACTAGTTCCACTCAGAGTTGCATTGAAGGTTGGAGCAATCGATACCACGGGTTAAAACTCTGCTAAGCCACCGGCAAAACATAGATACTCCATGATGTTTGGTTGAACTGAATAGTCACAATTACAATTTTGAAGAACGATTCAGCCGATGCGGTGCCAATGTTTGTAATCGTGTCCAAAACTCTACTAAGAATATTTCTGTTAGAAATTTCTGTTCGCGAAAGGTTGAAAGCGCCTCCAGCGGATGTTTTTGCAGAGTTTGATGTAGTGTTGCCAACTCGCTAAATTTTGGAAACACTTCCCGCGCATTTCGCACGCGTCGCCAAAACAAGATCGGAAGCAAAAACAGAAGGCAGAAATCAGATTGCAAACAAACGCCGAGGATAACAAACGCACCGCTTGACATGGACAATCCAAGCTCTCCGCCACCAAACACGCCCAGTGACGCCGCCGAGCGGCGCGAGCTTCGGGCTGCGATGACATCGCCGGTTGGCGACTTTGAGCCCTTCGAGAACGAGGACGAGATCCTCGGGGATCAGACGGTGCGCGATGAGGGCGAGGAGGAAGACGGCGAGGAGCTGTTCGGGGACAACATGGAGAACGACTATCGTCCCATGCCGGAGCTGGACCACTACGATCCGGCGATGCTGGACGACGAGGAAGACTTCTCGGAGATGTCGCAAGGCGATCGCTTTGCCGCCGAGTCGGAGATGCGTCGACGCGACCGGGCTGCCGGAATCCACCGTGACGATCGCGATCTTGGCTTTGGTCAATCCGACGACGAGGACGACGTAGGACCGCGGGCCAAGAGACGAGCGGGCGAGAAGGCGGCTGTGGGCGAGGTGGAGGACGCCGAGATGGTAGAGTCGATCGAGAACCTGGAGGACACCAAGGGTCACTCGACCAAGGAGTGGGTCAGCATGCTTGGACCTCGTACCGAAATTGCCAACCGTTTTCAGTCCTTCCTAAGAACTTTTGTGGACGAGAGGGGAGCCTACACATACCGCGATCGCATCCGGCGAATGTGCGAGCAGAACATGTCCTCGTTCGTTGTCTCCTACACAGATCTGGCCAACAAGGAGCACGTGCTGGCCTACTTCCTGCCCGAGGCCCCTTTCCAGATGCTGGAGATCTTTGACAAGGTGGCAAAGGACATGGTGCTCTCCATCTTTCCCACTTACGAACGGGTGACAACCGAGATCCACGTGCGCATCTCAGAGCTGCCGCTTATCGAGGAGCTGCGAACGTTTAGGAAACTGCATCTGAATCAATTAGTTCGCACCTTGGGCGTGGTAACCGCCACCACGGGTGTTCTTCCCCAGTTGTCCGTGATTAAGTACGACTGTGTGAAGTGTGGCTATGTCCTGGGGCCTTTTGTCCAGTCCCAGAACACGGAGATCAAGCCCGGTTCGTGCCCGGAGTGCCAAAGCGCCGGCCCCTTCTCCATCAACATGGAACAGACATTGTACCGCAATTACCAAAAGATCACGCTGCAGGAGTCGCCGGGAAGGATTCCAGCTGGTCGCATTCCCCGGAGCAAAGACGTCATTCTGCTCGCAGATTTATGCGACCAATGCAAGCCAGGTGACGAACTGGAGGTCACTGGCATATACACAAACAACTACGATGGTTCCCTGAACACCGATCAAGGATTTCCCGTTTTCGCCACCGTGATAATAGCCAATCATGTGGTCGTCAAGGATTCTAAACAGGTTGTGCAATCGCTGACGGACGAGGACATAGCCACCATTCAGAAGCTTAGCAAGGATCCGCGCATTGTGGAGCGCGTGGTGGCCTCCATGGCGCCATCGATTTACGGCCACGATTATATCAAGCGGGCTCTTGCCTTGGCCCTTTTTGGCGGTGAGTCTAAGAATCCCGGCGAGAAGCACAAGGTCAGGGGTGACATCAACTTACTGATCTGCGGAGATCCCGGCACGGCCAAGTCGCAGTTTCTCAAATACGTCGAAAAGGTTGCTCCACGGGCTGTTTTCACCACAGGCCAGGGTGCCAGTGCTGTGGGACTCACGGCCTATGTGCGCCGCAATCCCGTTTCACGGGAGTGGACCCTGGAGGCGGGCGCTCTGGTGCTGGCTGACCAAGGAGTGTGCCTCATCGATGAGTTTGACAAGATGAACGACCAGGACCGCACTTCCATCCACGAGGCCATGGAGCAGCAGTCTATCTCCATTTCCAAGGCTGGTATTGTAACCTCGCTCCAGGCTCGCTGTACCGTCATCGCGGCTGCTAATCCCATTGGCGGGCGCTATGACCCCTCGATGACCTTCTCAGAGAACGTCAACCTCTCGGAGCCCATCCTTTCCCGTTTCGATGTCCTCTGCGTGGTCAAGGACGAGTTCGACCCCATGCAGGATCAGCAGCTGGCCAAATTCGTGGTGCATTCGCACATGAAGCACCACCCCAGCGAAGAGGAGCAGCCGGACTTGGAGGAGCCGCAGCTGAAGACTGTGGACGAGATACCGCAGGATCTTCTGCGACAGTACATCGTCTACGCCAAGGAGAATATACGCCCCAAGTTGACGGTAAGTAAAAAGTACATATTTAATATTTGAACGGTCCTTAAGCATCGGATTTTTTCTAGAACATCGACGAGGACAAGATCGCCAAGATGTACGCCCAGCTGCGCCAGGAGTCCTTCGCCACCGGTTCGCTTCCCATAACAGTGCGTCATATCGAGAGCGTGATCCGGATGTCCGAGGCCCATGCCCGCATGCATCTGCGCGAAAACGTGATGGAGGCAGACGTCAGCATGGCTATCCGCATGATGCTGGAGAGTTTCATCGAGGCGCAGAAGTTCAGCGTGATGAAAAAGATGCGCAGCACATTCCAGAAGTACCTTGCCTTCCAGAAGGACCACTCCGAACTGCTCTTCTTTATCCTGCGCCAACTGACGCTGGATCAACTAGCCTATATCCGCTGCAAGGACGGTCCGGGCGCTACGCACGTGGAGATAATGGAGCGGGACCTGATCGAACGGGCCAAGCAGCTGGACATTGTCAACCTGAAGCCCTTCTATGATTCGGATCTGTTCCGCACTAACGGATTCTCCTACGATCCCAAGCGACGCATCATCCTCCAAATCGTTGTCGATGGCAACACAGCTTAAGTTTCAGTTTTGTATTCCATCTCATTTAGTTGTAGGGTTCTCATCTTTTGTTTCGTTACCCCCATTTTCGAATTAATAAAGTTGAATATATTTTTGTATTTATATAACTAATTAAACCGATATTTTAATAAGAAGTTTTAAAATACAACTATCTTCTTTTTGTTGTACATACATACAAATGTATACCAAACTAAGGTCACTCATTGTCGTCCTCGATGCCCATCGCTTTGTCGAATTGTTCCTCGCTGATCTTGTTCTTTTTAAGCCGCTTGAAGAGTCGAATGTCGCTAGCCAGCTCATCTAGATCCTCCTGGCTGAACTGCTGCCTCTTCTTTCCCTTCCCCGATCCGGCTTCAGCCTCCGCCGCTTTCTTTCGCTGTTTCTTGGCCTTTCGCAACTCCTTTTTGGACTTGGCATCCAGCTTGGCCTTTTTGGTCTGATCCCAGGACTCGACGCGCTTCTTATGCTGTTTTTGGCCCGGCCAGTTGCCTGTTTGCTCGTACGTTTGCATTTTCTGCTGACGGACCTGCTCCTTTTGAGCGTTCTTGTAGGTGAGCTTGGTGAGATCGACCTCGAATGCGGGCGCCACATAGCCGCCTTCCTTGTAGTTCTTCAGCTCCGGCATGCGAGGCAGTTGCAAAAGACCGTATGCAGTGGCCATCTTCCCTAGATCCAGATCTTTGAGCCGAAGAATTGCACTGCATTCGTGTTTGGTGTATGCCCTCACATGGGAAACAAAAGCGCGCATGCCTTTATCGTAGACGCCTTTATCTGCCACCTGCAGCCGATGCAGTTTGTCTAAAACTTCTGACAGCACCTTCTTTTCCGCTTCCTCGTCCTCGGCGGGCAGTTCATTTAGCTCAACCTTCTGGTTGATCTTCAGAAAGTGTACATAGGCATCTTCGCTGGGCAGAAGGAAGACCAGGGCGTTGCCCTCGTTTCCTTGTCGAGCAGTTCGTCCCACGCGGTGCACAAAGCTGGATGCAGTCGAGGGCGGATCCCATTGCACCACCCACTCAATCTCGGGGACATCTAAGCCACGTGCCAGGACATCTGTGCAAAGAAGTACAGCTTGCGGTTCGTTACGAAACTTCTCCACCACATTGGCCCGCTTGTTTTTCATCTTTCCATGGATTCCCAGCACAGTGCGTTTGGGCAAAAGAGGCGGCAAGGCTTCTGCCCAGTACTCCACGCAGGCGCAAGTGGGAAAGAAGACCATTACCTTTCCCGAACGTGTGGTCGGCGAACTGAGAAACTCCAGCAGAGCCACAAACTTTCGTTCCGGCTCGACAATCTTGTAGAAATTCTGCAGGCGGGCGGGCGTATTCACGGAGGCCTTTTCTTTCACCGATACCAGCACAGGATTTCGTAGTCCCGCACGGATTAGGTCCGTAACCTCGGTGGTTTGGGTGGCAGAGAAAAGTCCAGTTCGCCGCTGCCTGGGCAGGTATCCCAGTATATTATTTACACTAGTTTTAAAGCCCAAGTCCAGCAAGCGATCGGCTTCGTCAAGGACAAGAAACTCTAGGCTCTTGACCCGGGCAGCCAGATTTAGATCCTCTCCTTTGCGCTGAAAGAGATCCTCCAGTCTACCAGGCGTACACACTAGAATACAGGGCGTCTCCTTGCGCAGCGTGGCTATGTCCTCCTCGATGCTGTTGCCGCCGACAATCAACTGTTGATTCAGATGCTCCAAGTCTTCGTGCTCCAGGAACTGTGCTAACACCTCGGATATTTGGCGGGCAAGTTCTCTGGTGGGCGAGATGATAAGAGCACCGATCTCCTTAGGGCCCCAGGGGGTCTCTCGGTGGCGTCTTTGCAGGATTTCCAGCAGAGGCACGAGGAACGCCAGCGTTTTCCCACTACCAGTGACCGCCTCCGCGGAGACATCCTTTCGGGCTAGGAGCAGCGGAATGGCCGCCGTCTGGACAGGCGTCATCTCCTTGAAGCCGAAGCTCTGCACCACCTGGAGCACTGGCTCCGAGAGCGGAGGTTTATCTAGCGAAGTCCACTTTTTTCGAGACATTTCAAGTTCAGTTTGTCAACAAAAACATGTGCGCGCTAGTGTGACCGTTTCATTTGTGACTCTTCGTAGTTTGCTCGGAGAGCGTGGCAGCACTGGTGTATTTCACAGGCCTATGGCATTGCCAGTACAAATTCGTGTTTTATCGATTACGTATAGCGCCTTTCTTGCCGACCTATCGAAATTTAAATAAAGTGCAGAATTAAAACCAAAGTAAAAAATGGGTGCACAGCCTTGACACTTGTGCCACCATCTCCAGCTCCAGGTATTCTCTTGCATACACCCACGAGGACTGCAAAAAAGGCGCCACACACGCTGTTTGCTGTTCGAATGCTTGTACGGATTCCAAATCATCCAAAAAAAGCGTGTGCCATATGTCGTTCGACGATGCATTTCCAAAATATTGATGCCAGCATATGAAAAAAAAATCGGAAGTAAAAAGCGTTCCCTTTTTTCGTTTCGTCAACAAAGTGGGATGATGGTTGAAGAGGGGAATCGTGGAGAGAGGTGGAGGACGAGGTGTTTAGACCGGACCAACAGGCTAAACGATCGACCGCCTTGGCAGACGCGCGTCAGACGAATTCGAGCCGAGTCCCGAAAGGGGAAAGAAAAGAGGAAAAAGTTTGGAACGCGTGTGGCCAAAAGTTAATGAAGCGTTTACAAATTAACTTGTGGCCAAGTGGAGGCAAAAAACGCTGAACAGTTAGGGCGAGAATGTGGTTCCAGTTAAGGGTTTATGGCTGCTCAGCGGCGTCAAAAAATGTGGCTTAAAAAACGCACTCTTTAAACGCCAGTAATTACTGATCATCATTGTTTTCTTATTTCATAAAAGACAGTCTAAGCATTTAAAAATTTGAATTTATTGTGAATTTGAAATAAAAACAAATATTCTTTAACAACGATGGTTAAATAGTCGACCTTAACCACACGCCCAGGCTAACAACAACAACTGACAAAAAAGTAAAGGAGTCATTTGAACAAAGGTAATCTTTTCTGGCATTGATCTATATTCCTCATAAATATGTATTAAATTAGAGAATTCCTTTCATATTTAATTTCTTTTGTACGCCGGGGAATAATCAATTCAAAAACGCCTTCAAATCCTAGCTCGCTGACGCAGTTCTCATAAGCAAGTCCTTGGTGCGTTCTTAGTGTGTTTTTATTTTTTTTGTTTGCCCAACCCTTGGAGAGATTGATTATTGTTTATATTTGTGCCCCTGCATCGATGTGTATGTCTGTATCAAATGTATAGCTATCTGAATGCAGTGCAAACAGGCGAAGGATTGTGGCCAACGCCAACGCATCCCCTTTTGAATTGGGGCAATTAAAGTTGTTCGCTCGACTTACTTCGCTGAATAGCTGGCTATACGGACACGTGATAGAACAGGGCCAGAGAAATTATCCTGCTTTCCCTGGGGACGAGACCGAGGTAATTAACCCCTTCTGGCCTTCATCCTTCTGGCCTTCTCCAGCGAGGGCGTTAAGTCAGTCACGAGTTTCTGGTCAATTTATCAAATATTCCCCGAATTCCTGGAAATCAAAATAGAGCGATCTCCGAGCTGAGATTCAAAAATCGAAGCAGTCTGGGATTTTGTCCTGACGTCGGTTCGATCGCTTGTAATTATGCTAATAATGAGTTTGATTTGTGATCCCTGTTCCCATCTCTCCTGAAGTAAATTTAAAGAATTGGTTGCCTCATGTTGAGGCTTTGTTCTTTCCGAAAAACATTATACTAATTGCACATTCCCTGGATTTTCACACATTTTGCTCTAGTTCCAATTATCCAAAACTCCTCTTCCTGCTGCAAATGGCAAGCGCCGAAGGACTTTCTGCCAGGATCATTGATCATTCCGTTAATTTGGTGAGAATTTATTTTTCGTTCCGTAATGTCCATTGCTACCTGCCCGGGTTTCTTTTCATCTCCTGTGTGGTCACTTTAGCCAACAACAAGTGACATTTGCGGTTGAAAATATCAATTTTCATATAAATGCAATTGTCACCTTTGCGCCGAGACCTCCCCCAATGATCAAGAAACTGTCAGCGCTGAATCTCTATCCAAAAAATTTGATTTTTAAATTAGGAAACACCGAGCAAATACCTTTATACAGATCCCGGCAGACAGTAGTCACTTATCTGATGGTCAATTTTTCAATTTTACTGGCTGATGTTGAGAAATTGCCCCCGGTCCATCGATATCAGTTACGATTTACATTTCACTTTTACACATCCCAAAACACGGCAGAACATATCAATTACCCACGATCAAGGATTGTTGACAGTCGCACTACTGCGCAGGATTGGGATTGGGATCGAGTTGCTGCTGCTGCTGCTGCTGCTGGAGGATCCTTCCTAGAAAGTCATTTCTCACACTGACCGTCCTGGGACTTGTTTGTGTTTAATTTCAATTTCTTTTGTCCGAGCTACTTGACTGCGGGCGCAGTGTTTCCAGTTTTACACCAGACGGGCGACGGTGCGACGGTGCGATGTGAGGTGAGGTGAGGTGCCAAAAGTGGCGATGGCACCTATGGGAAATGGGAATAATCATCACAAACTGACCTCCGCTGAATTAAGGATAAGGAAAACGGGAGAAACCGAACTGGAGAAGACGAGGGCCAAAATCCTTGAAACCGTTTGAAAGTTTCGCTTTTTTTCGGCTCGCATACCCTCGCCTGTGGTTGTTACCCTAATTTCGGCTCATCTTCATCCAGACTCTCGGGCCCTGATCATCGGCAGCTTATCTCATCTCTCTAGCCGGCGCACGCGTGTCATCCCGGGCAGCAATCAAAGTGATATGAAAATTGCGTTTGGGTTCAACAGGTTCGCAGTTTTCGATTGCTGATCGTTGTGGCTCCTGCACCTTAAAAAATTACTCTAAAGTTCATATGTGCAAACTTCAACAAGGCAATGGCATTAATCTTGATAACAAGCTTGAATTATTATTCATTTACTTTGTATTGAAAATTTAAAAAATACTTTGATATACTATGTACATATAATACATCATACTCTTTTGGCTGATATTATTTTAAAAACGTGTAATATATTATTTAAGTATTAATATCTCTTTGAAAATGTAACATATCAGTCTGATCCCAAAGGAATTTCTCTCAGTGTGCTCTTGCTGTTCTTTGCTGTTCTGTTAATTTTGTTTGCCTAAAGGTTAAACGTGCGAATTTCACCCAAAGGCAGTCGCCAGTTTCGAGGGCTCCAGGGACTCGGATTTCGGTGGTAATCGGTCTGACTTCTGACTGGCCATCCACTCCTGCTCCCGATCCCACTCCATTTATATCTGCGATTCGCGTACGGTACGCGAATTTCGCTGTTTCGCCTAATTAAATGTAATTTGGTACTTCCTTTTCAGCCGAAATAATGCATATAAATAGTATCTTTAGTTTACATTTTATATTCCCCCACCCGCCGCAGCTCTCATTATTATAAATTTTCGTTTTCTTTCAGCGATCGGCGAGTGGCCTCCGATCGCTTGAGATCCCCCCGCCCCTCACCCCCTTCGGAGGTCAGTAGCGTCCCGGGGCGGGGGTTGAATTCAAAGGAATTCGCTGAACCCTCCGGCACTCTCTCCTTTTCGCTGCGAACAAATCTTAAGTGCAACAATATGGCAATTGTTGTGTATATTGCTACGCGAACTTGTTAATTGTTTCGCGCTCGAGTGGCCAAGAGGTCTGAATGGGCGGCGGATTCTCCGTTCCGAGGTGCTCCTCTGCTCTTCAGGGAAACACTTTCCAGACGGTCCTCTTCCATTCATGGCGCGCATCTAGAGCAGGATCGTGACCGGAATGCCAGGGGGTTCCCGTTCGCGGTCCTGCAATCGCTGCTTTGCCGCCTGCCGCCGCAAATTAGATGCTCAATTACGCTACGAGAATTCCTGGGTAATTTCAAAGCCATTCAGTACTCTTGCTATTTCACACTGGGAAAAACCTTACGATTGTAAATATATTTGAACAGGGCTTTTAAAAGACGTATATATTAAAATCTTTCTACAGGTTTTAATACTTTTTTTGTGGTGCATGCATTTATTCTGTGAGCAATCTTGAGAGTGAGTCACTCGAAAGTGAATCTTGACCACGTGGTGTCCCTGGTCTAGTCGTCTTGAGCCCTTCGCCTTTGCCTTCTCAATCATTTTTCATCGCAACCTCTTCCTTCCGCAAAATGTTCTCACACTTGACCCGCCGAACAGGGAGACGCCCAAGGATCTGCATCCGAATCGGAAGTGGTTGGGCAACAGGAGGGACAGCATCTCTCCTAGGACTCGCCAATGTTATTTCAAAATTTCCAAAATCTTATTAAAAATTGTTGTTTCTGCTGCCGCGGCCTTTTCTCCGTCTTTTGTGTGTGCGAGTTTCGTTTTCGTTTCTTTTTTATTGCTTTAATCATTTTTATTTTGTGCGGCTTCCGTGCCACCTGTTATGGTTACGACCATGGCCAAGAACCCGAGAAACCGAGAAACCAGGGAGCCAAAGGAGCCCAGAGCAGCGCAGCCGAGGTCCTTCAGAGCCTTTTTGATTTTTCTCAAGTGATTGCGTAGTTTTCATCTGTTTTCTTTGTTCCAGCAGCGAGCAGTGTTTCAAATTTGAATTGATCACTTGGCTGCGATCTGGGATAGGGTTTCGTGGGATCCGATCCTCTCTCATAACAATGGCCATCACAATTTGTCGATCGGTTATGAGCCAACTTCCGACTCGGAAACGAGGGTAGAGCCACCAAATGAGGATGCAGTATGCACCATGAAATTAATGTTTGATGGCCGCATTACTGCCATCGAAGTTTTGGGTTCACTTTTTATGAAATCGAATGTGTTTTCGGGCTGAAGGAGTTTTCTTATGAATCATGACACGGATTTGTCTTATTAGAGATTAATTTGTTCGTGTAACATTTTTCAAAGTAACTCTTATGATTTCCATATATTGTTTAGTATGGATTAGATTCATATGCGGAAGATCTAGTTAAAAAACAATCTCATATCTTGCTGGGTATTTTATAAACTGCCCCAAGCTTATCCTGCTTTTAATATGTGTAGCGAATTTGTCTTGTTTCGATAAGGGATAAAGGATCGCTTGTGGCGCCAGTCAGTTGCGAAAGATCACCTCAGATATCGATCGCTACCAATGTTGGCAAAACAAGGCAACCGAGTTCCAATTGCCGCATCAAAGTCGGCGACAAAAATCGCTCTGACATGCTCCGATGCGATCTATATGCTATAGGAGGACTGAACTGATCTGCCATCCCTCAACCGATTGATAACCATCAGTAGGCAATCTTTGACAAAGCGCCGGCTCAACAGGAGGTGAGGGCGTGCCCAAACAATGACACAGTGGGCGCTGCAAGGACTCAGCCCAAAGGACTCGGACTCGGACTGGGAATCGGTGGACGTGTGTATAATCTAGTTTTAATTTTCATGGGAATCAACCCATGGCCGAACCAATTTGCCGGGTACTCCGAACAATGTGCAATTTATGCGATGTTTGTTTAAACAATTTTGAACGGCTCCCGGGGCAGCGATGTCCTGGGCCAATTCAATCCCGTCCAGTGTTTGCCTCCATTCGAAGCCGTCGTATTTGCTTTGATTTCCACTTGACTTTTTATCGCTGCCGAGGAGCATATGTACATATGATATTTTCCACTCTTTCACTCTTGCCGCCTCCCCAATCGCTGGTCAATATTTGCAGAGCCAAGTCAAACAGCGGGCCACAATGCTGAATGCTGGCGCTTTCCTCCTCGACTTGGGCCCTCTGAATTTGCATATTTAATCTGCCTTTAATGAATTTTCAATTTGACAATTGCCAAAATGCCGCACACGAGGCCGGTCTTCCATTTGGGGCCACCAAGCCACCCACGTCGAGGATTCCGAGGAATGGGACAGTTTCGATGGAGTGGACACGAGATGATGGCATGTCCGAGCGATTGCATGTCTGGACTCTCCGGCTCCTTTCGCTTTTCGCTCTCGTCTGCGAAATGGGACAGAGTGTTAAATGCTAATAAAATAAGTAACAAACAAATTTTTCAATTTCAGCCAATGAAAAAATAACTGGGCCGAGCAGAAGCTGGTCGGTCGCCTGGGAATGGGACTCTCGGTCTGGACAACACTTTCACGGCCCAGAGCGACTTGCTAATGGGAGTCGTTGACGTGCGCCCACTTTCCTCTTATTGGCATCTCCTGCGCCTACACGTTCCGCATGCCGGAGAGAGTCCTTGGGAAAGGGTATATGAAAGCAACAAGTCGACTTATAAGCCATTTGGCTACTAACAATAAAAATACATATGTCCATTTTTGGTTCATTAAAAGTTGTAGGAATGTACTGATTAAATTATTTCACTCTTTCAAATTTGCTGCATTAAATCCAAAATGTAAAGTCAGAATGGATTGTATATTAAGCCACATTGTATTATATTAAATTTCTATGGTAAGGGTATGTCGGATCCCCTTTATGCAGATTTTCAGTCACATATTTCCATTGGTCGTGCGCTTTCTGGAAGCTGCTCCACATCGGTTGCACTGAAACTCCCATCGCCTCTCCTGCGATGCACAAGTTGCATTTATGCATATTGACATGAAAGAAATGGCCCGTTACCAGCGTAATGATGCCAATGATGAGCAATTGGAGGTATCGGAGGTACTGGTTCAGGAGGTATGTGGGTCTGCACTCCTTCACATCGATCTGCTACCCGATAACTGACAGGCACGCAAGGCGCCCGACTCTGTTCAACGGGGGAAAAGGAAAAGAACTTGCCCCTTTTTGCCCCTTCAACTGGCAGCACGTGCATAATGCAATGCAACGCGGCAATGAAAATGTAAATTTCCAAATCGAGTTACGGATGCCCGGATGCCTTGACATCGGCTAATGCCGATAAGCGCAAACTTTACAGCGAAGATGCAATCCGAGGATATGGCGAACACACATCGCAGGTGTAACAACTGTCAGTTGCGGCAACTGGCTCGTAAATTGCACAGGACACAGGACACCGGCGACAGGACCTTCGAGGACTCGGGTCAAACTTACCTGTGTGCCCGTCCAATAAATTCGTGGTGCTCTGGTGCTCTTGGTGCGGTTTGTTGTGTGACATTTTTATCTAATTGACAGCGTTTTTATTGCCCGGCAAAAAGATCGAACTGGGATCGTTGGGGCGTGCTGCTAGTTATGCGACTGGGTGGCCGCGGAACTTCAAAGATCCATAAGATACTCCTACAAATGAGCAATGTGAATCCACTGCATTATGATTTCCAGCGAATCATTAGGGATCAGAGGGCGTTACAAGAATCCGAGGACCACCGGGTTCGCTTCGTTTCGCTGTGTCATCCTGGGACTCACAACTAAATTCCCCGCTCACGATCGAACCCACGGCCGCTTTAATTGCGAGGCGCTAAAATGTTAGCCCAACTCTTAGTTAGTGTCTGCCACGCTTATTAGCTCGTTAGCCAAGGTCGGTCGAGGATTCGGCCACGTCAAGCGTGTCCTTGGAAGGCCGGCGCTTCGTAGCTACCCTTAAGGAACTTAAGAAGCCGGCAACAAGCGTATCAATCGGTGAATTTGCCAAGTTGTAATAAACAAGATTTTTCATTGCGATATTCCGCCCTCGCCTTCGGGTCAGCATGTCGAATGACCTGACGGCGGTGAATTTGTAAGGGTTCAACGAGGGTCAGGTACTTGCAACCGATTCAGATTAGATAAACTCATAATGCTCATCGGCTCTGCCATTTGGTGCTGACAAATCGTCGAGGGATTTTTGCAAATTTCGCCGCACTTTGCGGTTCGACTTTAATCCCGTTTAGGGATGCTTTAGGGATTGTTTGCATGGGCCAAGTTATGTTTGCATTTCCGCCCATATTCCTGTTCCGGTCGTGCCCGCCGCCCTGTAATCATCTTGTTAGCGGCTTTAGATGCCCAGATAGTGCCTTTTCTAGCGCCATTTTAAGCTCAGAACTCCGAACTGAGGCAGCAGCAGGCAGCCAGAGAGCCGTGCAACTCACCACCGCTTTCCATTGGCTGCGCCACTCGGGCGGCACGTGCTGTCCGCACAGGCAACTCGTTTACGTTTACCTGTTCCCTACCTGCCCTGCGGGCCCTGCTGGCCGTCGTGGTGGGTTTGCGGGTATAAATAGGGCCGAAAGGACGAGAGACCAGTCAGAAACCCGCCAGCAGTCGCAGCGCTCGCATCGTTCGACCAGCAACGTACAACAGCAATACGCAACAGCCACAGCAACACGCAACCTACAGCAGCAACATGTCTTCGAGTGAGATCTACCGCTACTACTACAAGACCTCGGAGGACCTGCAGGGCTTCAAGGCGTCTGCCCCCGAGTCCTACTTCAACCCCATGGCGGCCTACAACCCCGGCGTGACCCACTACCAGTTCAACGGCAACACCCTGGCCAGCAGCAGCAACTACTTGTCGGCCAACGGGTTCATCAGCTTCGAGCAGGCTAGCTCCGATGGCTGGATCTCCTCCTCACCGGCCAGCCACCGCTCGGAGAGTCCCGAGTACGTGGACCTCAACGCCATGTACAACACGGGCTGCAACATGCTCCCCAGCCAGCAGTATGGAATGGTCATGGAGCAGACAGTGATCCCGGAGCCAGCTTCGGTTCCGGCTCCTCTCCCAGTTGCAGATGCCTCGCCAGTGCAGTCCCCTGCGGAGGTGATGGGCTCCCCCAATGTGGGCACTTGCAAGACCCTGCCAGCTCCGGCTGCCCAGAAGCCCAAGCGCAGCTACACCAAGAAGAACCAGTCCAGCGCCACGTCCCAGGAGGCCACCCCCGTGAATCTCTACACCGAGGAGTTCCAGAGCTTCGACTTCGACAACTCCGCCCTGTTCGACGACAGCGTGGAGGACGACGACGACCTGATGCTCTTCAGCGGCGGCGAGGACTTCGAGGGCAACGATGGCTCCTTTGACCTCGTGGATGGCGAGCAGCAGGATGTGGCCACCAACGGATCGGGGAAGAAGAGGCGTGGCAAGCAGATCACGCCCGTGGTGAAGCGGAAGCGCCGCCTCGCCGCCAATGCCCGCGAGCGTCGTCGGATGCAGAACCTCAACCAGGCCTTCGACCGCCTGCGGCAGTACCTCCCCTGCCTGGGGAACGACCGCCAGTTGTCCAAGCACGAGACCCTCCAGATGGCCCAGACCTACATCTCCGCCCTCGGGGATCTGCTGCGCTAGAACCGCTAGAACAGTCCTGGGATCACCCCACACCTCTTGTTGGAGCTTGCCAAATGATGTACCTACTCTGTATATATAGCCAGTGGCCCAGTAGTGAATTACCGCTTAAGTATTATGCTGTTTATTGGTTAGTTAATTAGCTTAAACGGAAGACAATGATTAGTTGTAAGGAAGACAAAATAAAAACCCTATTATTAACATTAACTGCTTTCTGTTTAATTATTGATGTGGAATCTCTTACGGAATTATCTTTTTCAGACCAATTTCTGCTTAGAATTCAGAGGTTAAAACAATAAAAATTTTAATAAATATTATAAATCTACTGTATGGAATTAGATGAATACTTACTTTTTTATACCCTTGCAGAGCAAAGGGTATTATAATTTTGGCCAGAAGTTTGCAACGCAGTGAAGGAGACACCTCAGACCCCATAAAGTATATATATTCTTGATCAGCATCACGAGTAGAATCGGAATACGTCTGTACGTCTGTCCGTCTGTCCGTCTGTCCGTCTGTCCGTCTGTCCGTCTGTCCGTCTGTCCGTCTGTCCGTTTCTGCCTAAACTAGTCTCTCAGTTTTAAAGCTATCTCGCTGAAACTTTCCCAAAATGTGTGTAGTTACTGCACGCAGTATATAAGTCGGAACGGGCCGGATCGGCCGACTATATCGGATAGCTCCCATACGAGAGAATGAAATAAAAAATTCTTACTCCGTTGTTTTTGATCAGATCGACTTGAATTCTTCAAGATGGCGTTTTCTAACTGTTATTGAATTTCGGATTAAATTTGATCAAAATCGGATAACTCTATCATATAGCTGCCATAGGAGAGATCGAAAATTATATATAGAATTAATGGAAATAAATTGATAACATCGTTGTTTTTTATCCCACGAGCATGATTTTTTGAATATAAAGTTTTTTAACAACGTTTATATTGAGAAAAAAGTTTCATAAAAATCGGTCATCTATATCTTATAGCTGCCATAGGAAAGATCGAAAAATCTATATAGAAATAATGGAAATAAAATTATAACATCGTTGTTTTTCATCAGACAAGTATGATTTTTGGAATATAGAGTTTTCTTACGACTCTTGAATTACGAATTAAATTTGATCAAAATCGGACAACTATATAGTATAGCTCCCATATGATCTATAGTCAAAAATATGGAAAATGAATAGAAAAACCGTCTTAGCTTCGATGTTGTCTAGCCTTTATGAGTTTTGTTCGACATATTTGATGACTGCAAGGGTATATAAGCTTCGGCTTGCCGAAGCTAGCTTCCTTTCTTGTTTTTAATATTTTAAGAGGCTTCCTTTGTTCAATAAACCATCACCGTACAAATCCATCCAGAGAAAGCTCCAGGACGACTTTTCAGTTAAGTAAGCCATCCCAATATTTTTATCTCTGAACGGTTTTGCCTCCCTTGCCCCTTGCCCCTTCCCCACTTATCGGCGGGGCATCAATTCTCACACAGTTTCCGAGGCTAAGCGTCTCGCGCCCTGCGAATTGGACTTTATTATATGGGGGAAGGTGATCGATTTGGCGCTTCGCGATCAATTTGTAGACAGTTCGACAAAATTAGGGCCGGCTCCGCGGGCCTTCCAAAACAAATACTCGGCGGACGGGCAGCAATCCCCAAGGCAGTATTGTGCCAATAATTACACGGCTCGGCGCGACGGAGTGTAGCTGCCAAATTAAGTTAAGTGTTGGGCTGATCTGCTTTCAGCAGTCGCAGGTCGCATGCACCGTCCGTCCCTGTCAAAAAAAACCCAAAACAAAACCTTTTCAACTTTAAGTCCGAGTCCCGAAAATCAAGCGCCACTCGCAAATCGTTTAAGGCGAAGTTCGATCCTCGATCGTTGCTGGCGGATAAGCTCGGCGGCTTAAAACCATAAGCTCATTATACACTAAAAATAAAAAGGAGGTGTTATAATGGGACTTTCGCTTTTTTATCTTAAAAGGGTGAGAGGTGTAAATATAATGAACATGATGTTTCTGATGTTCTTTGTTCAATCATTGACATATTTTTGGATTTGATAAACTTCTTATAAGTGATACTGAAATGAGTTTTTGTTCAGAAAGGATATTTTGTGCTTAAAGTGCTTTACTTTTCGGCCAGTGTGGCTTTTCATTCAGCAGAAAGCGGAGCAGATCCCAAGCTCAGTCGGTCAGTCAATCATTCGGAAGATTCGAAGCCAATTTGTTGATAGCTGACGATCGACTCCCGCATGGGAATTGGAGCGCCCGAAGGCGGATGGAGTATGGCGGGGGAGGGGGCGTGGCAACGACCGGATTTCGTGGGCAGGCTCTGTTTGTTTTATAAAATCATTTTCGGGCGTCGCCGCAAGAGCTACGCGGATTTCGGATTTCGGAGCTCATAATCAAAAGGAAATTCACATAATTAGTTGAGCGGCAGGGCTTCGTTAAATTGTTAATGACTTAATTTAGTGGTCGCGCGGTGGGGGCGTTTTTCTCGCGATCCAGGCAATTATATTTTGTAAGCATACCCCTATATGGGCATGCGAATCGGAGGCACAAAGGCGATATCCTGCCGATATCCCCGGAGTGTCGCTCTTGTTAGCGACAATTTACGGCTTTGAACGCTTCCGCACAAAGCGCTGCCGTCAATTTGTCAATTACACAAATTGTTCGAATCGAGTCCCCCAACCAAAGACAGCCAAACAGAACCAAACACAGCCAGGCAAAAGGAGACAAAACGAAAGAAAAGGGTGCAATCCTGAGTGGAGCTTGGAGTTCGGGGCTCTTCCTGCCGATATCGGTCGTTATTCCCGGGCAGCGGCTACTGCCACCTGCATGCAGCTGCACAGATTCGTCGGACTCTGACTCGGCTCCCAAAATGCAACTGCCTGCCAATACAATTAGTTAGAATTCATGAATGGCAACTGGGCCCCAGTCGGTAGAGTCCTGAGTTGGCTTTTGGCCCTTTTGCTTTTGGCAGTGCCGACAGAGCGGCAGAACCGAAACAGGAGGAAAACCGAAACAGGAGGAGCTGCGGCAGCCACTTGCATGTCTTTGTCAATTTATAGACAGCTTGCCTGAGCATTATTAACACGTATTATTATGCATTCGATGTCCGATGTCCGATGTCTGTTGTCCGGTCTGGGGCCGCATATTTTGTGGGTTTTTCCCGCACTCCGACTCCGACTCGGAAGGGGAACGAATGCCCCGAAATTTGTCATGTCGATAATTGGCGAGCTTTATTTTGAGGTTTCTGAGGTTGCTTACCTCTCTGCCGCATCCGAGGCTTAAGTAGTTGGTGGGCATGTACTACAGTTGCATCTGCATCTGTGTCCTGCGTTAAGTAACTTAATGAGCTTTAACACCATCAATTTGTCACTTCTTGTTAGTGTCGCCATGGGGCAGGATCTGAATGGGTTGCACTGGGTTCGATCGGTTCGGTTTTTGGAGCCCGGGTTCATTGATTGCCAGCTGAATTGGTCCTTTGGGCTGTTTTGTGATCGTTAAGAAATGGATTCGTTTAGTGCGGCTTCAACTCAAATGAAGTTCAAGGATTTTTATTTTACAAACTTTTGCTATATCATTGTCTTACAATCCTGCCAAATAAACACTTGAGGCAACAGGTAGCTCTAGAAAACCATTGATTCCTGTAAGATTCAATTACGTTCCCCGCATTCTATAATTGCGGTTTTGGAATGTTTTGAAATAATTTTTTACCATTCTTTTTTTTAATGATTTTTTGTATCCCTACTCAATAGATTTTCTCATGCCTTTTTGGGCACAATTTCCCTCATTTTAGAGGTCTAACCACAAGCATTACTTTGTATCTTTTCCCTTGGGCTCAAGTGCAGTTTCCGCTTCCGCCGATTTGTTTTGGCATTGTTGTGTGAACATTTTGCGCTGATCCTTTAATTGTTGCGCAACATTCTCCTGTTCTCCGGCAAAAACGCAGGATCCTTGGACAGAGAGAGGAAGTCCAGGGATGCGGTGATTAATGCCAGGCCTTTCTTCCAAGTCGCGTGTGCAGCGAAATTAGTGGACCCTCAAACTGAGTGTGTGTGTGTGGTTTTAGTCGGTTTTAACCAACTCAAAGTCCGGGCCAACTGAATGCAATTATTAAGTCATAAAACGGACACCGTAAAATGCCAAAGTCTGTAATTAGCGACACCAAATCACGCCGGCCGCGCCCCTTTTTTAATATCCTTTCCCAGCCCATTATCGGAAATTGTGTGTGGTCCGCGGGGAAAGATCTTCTCCAGAAGGAAAGGGAAAGTCAGCGGAGGAAGGACTCTATTAGAGGTCACCGTTGGCTTGGGGAAGTTTCGGCCCACAAGAGCGGCAATTAGTCAAACGATTTGCAACGCAAATACCATCAATCAACGGAGAGCAAAGGGCTCGGATTACACATCCAGGTCATTATCATGGTCCTCCTCATCGGGAGCAGTAACAAACTTAACCGTTACCCATTTGACAAACAATTCGCACGGCCAACGGCCCAAAAATGCCTGGGTAACTCAATTAGCCGCAGAGAGACGATCGGCAGGCACAGTTGACTGACTTTCGGTTTCCAGATTCATCCAAGTAGGTGGGCATCCCGGCCAGAACCCAAAGTTCTCAGTATCTCACGCTGCAGCCAACGGTGATCGGAGATCGACAGTGAAAGTGCAGCAGAAATCAAAGTCCTTCTCGATTTTTTGACAATTTTTTGGCGAGGCATCAAATTAACACAACGCAAAAACCTTAAGATGCTACCAAGACGAGGCGCAGAGCAAGCATAAATATTTTTTTAAGTCCGAATTTTCCATACTCTACAGTCTACAATGCTAACAGTTGATGATTGAAGATCAGAAACAGAAGTAAAGAAGTACATGGAAATGAAAAGTGCGTCATTATAGTTTACACAATCCAAACAAACTTAAACTGCAACTATTTTATATATTTATCCACTTCATTATGTAGTCAGTATTCAAGTAAGAGTATTCCATATTTTGGCTACACAAACTTCGCTTCGTCAGCGTTTTTTAACTGAAATTGCCACACGCAAGCCATCGCCATCTCCAGCGCTTTGTCACGTCAAGAGGAGGGCCCGAGGATTTGGTCTGGGCTGCGTCTTCTGGCCGAACAAGAGATTCCTGGTCAGGGGCCTGTAATTTTGTATTGACATTGGGTCATTTGATACAGTTTTCCAGCTCATTTGCTTGTAATTGGGCACCGAAGTCTCGCCCAGACTCCGCATGAAATCTGCGGAGCCCCTGCGCTCCGCAAACCCCTGTTCCTGCCGAAAAGCCTGAGCTCGGGTTGACGACTTTTCAAATTATCAGTAATACTGGGGAACTTATGTATTTATTAATCAGGATTTCGTGTGAAAAATGCGCCCATACTTCGAGCCTTCATACTTTGTGCTTGAGCTCGGCTCAGCAGACAGCAACAAGAACCACATTTTCGGCAGGACCCTTCGATTTAATGTCAACGACGTCGGTGGCGTTGGCATCACTTCATCTCTGCTCCTTTTTTTCGGCCGTGACTTTTAATTCAGGTACAGGGACGGACTGCCACCTGCATTGACATCGACTGGCCTCCGACTCTGCGATTTTTTCGGCGACTGAGTGTGAACTTAATCCCTTGGCCCCAATTATTCAAGTAATTAAGTATTAATGTGCGAAATTTTATCACCTACGGCCAGGGGTGAGTCGGCTTTGTGCTGGCCAAGCCGTGATTTTCCAGCCGATTTGTGTTTAAACGGTCGTGAAAGTGGGGCTTCTTGAACCCGATATCGGGAATAAGCTCAGCTTAGGAAAAAAACGAATTGTTCCTACGCGTGTTTTCTTTTTGATTTTATTTACTCCACTTAAAAAGGTTTCTTAATAAAAACTTTATATAAATAGTTTAGATCCCGACAAGTAACCAATTTCGTAGAAGAACCATAACTTTAAGTGATTGCCAATAAAATACGCCCGATCAAGGGGCGCCGCTTCTAGCCGCCAAAGATCTAAGGAATCAAATCTTTTACAAGTGCAATTAGCAGATATAATCCGTGTGATTCCACCCAACTAAAATGTCAATAACAATAAATTCCTGACAGCCGATCGAAAGATAGCAATGTGATCAGCTCATAACTGTCAGGTCCAATCAACTGATTTGCGCAGAGGTCCAGCCCAGTTTGCCCAGAAACGATAAGGGAATCAGCGCTGGCAAGGATCCGCCGAGGACCCCACAGGACTCGCTTCGCATAATATTTTAGAGGCGTGTTCCGCCTGTCAACATTTTATGTTGGTGGTCAGTGAGTCAAACTGCGGTCGCAACTGACACAGCAGCCCAAAAAAGGGAAATCTCTGGGTGCTGAGAACCGCGCGGGTGTTCCCAGGACAGGTCCTTGAGCGGACAATGGAACAATGGCGAGTCCTTTGTGAAACAAAGGCCCCTACTTACAACACATTATGACACGAATCGAAATGGAAAACGAAAACGAACACTACTCGGAATGCCAATGGGCATTTTACGGCCCTCGCAGTCCTGATTCATTGCTATTGCTCTATTTCTGGGGCTCCTGGCGAGCTGCGGCATGTCCTTGAGGCTCCTTTTGATGCATTGAATTTGCGTGAACCACAACTAATTTTATTGCTTAATTTTTTGTGTGCCCAGCCGACTTCTCTAATTGAATCGCGCGATCTGTAAAATTATACATTTGTCTCCGCGGCAAAGTTCATTATTTATTTCTGTGGGATATTAGTGATATTAGGGTTTAATGTAAATGAACTTTTTGTTTTCGCTGCCATTGATTTGGTTTTGTTTATGGTCGTTGGGTAAATTATATGGGAATTTACACGCCTGGCTGGTAAATAATTTGCTCGTCCAGTCGATTTATTATACAAGAAATAAAAGCGAGAGTCCAAGATTAGTCATGGCAAACATTGAAATTTAGTTTTTAATGTTTTGGGGGTTTCAGATCAAAATGGTGTTAAAAATTGATGGAATCCCAAAATCACAAGAAATCGTGTATTCCTCATGTTCCATAGTAATTGTTAATAAATTGCATTAATAATTAATTTACGTTCTTGTTTACTTCGATGTAAGGATTTTAACTTGAGATACTTTGTTAATTCACAACCCCGAAAATTGCTAGATTTTTCCATCATCTTCATAGGCGAACCAATTATTGTGGCGGGCATCTTTTGGAGTTGGAGTTGGAGTTGGCCAGCTGACGCTTCGATCCTTTGGCCTGGTCCTGCGCACACGTGTTCAATTGGCAGGCATGCGCGCGATTTCGGGGCTCAATTTGGATTTGTAAGCCGAGCCCCGAATGTCTGAGCATCCTCGTCGGCCTCACACCTTCCCCAAAACCAATGCCCAATACGCATTACTCTCTTTCCTTTCCCCAGGAGCAACCCTTTTGGATTGTTTTCTATCCTTTTTTTTGGAGCCGCTGGCTGTGTCCTTTAAGCCGCTTGTCCTGCTGTTGCCGTTCGGGGTCCTCTGTCTTCCTCGCTCTTCCTGCACTCGTGCGCCGATCGGAAGTCAACAGTAACTGTTGGTCGAGTGCTCCTGCTCCTGCTTCCTTGAAATTGTCTGCCAGCACGGAGCGAGGAAAAAACCCAACCGTAAACGAAACGGCTAAAAGAAGTATAATTTCAACTGGGGGAAAACGGTGCGGGCACTTGAAAAAATAGAGTTACTAGGAGGAGTATAAAAACTAAAAATTAAGCCAAATATGAATCATAAACGTTCATGGAATTTTTGTTGGTTTTTAAAGCAGCTAAAATTAACTTATGGAAAATCGATTCTCTGAAATCAGTTTTTAAATAAGTGTTGTTTTTATTTACAATAGTACTAGGCTTCTTGCCCTTAATCCCTTTAGTATTGCATTGGGGGTTCTTACTTTTACTTATTATTGGTTCTATTTAACTTGTTTTCATTTTAATTTTCTAATGCGATGGCTTCTTTTCGAACTGCATGGAATATTTTTTCCGAGTGATGAAGCGAAGGAGCGTGGGCAACCCAATTTGCGAAGTCAAAAGTGGCACCAGATGACGGCGTGCGCCGTCCGTTTGTTCTGGGCCAAAACGGGGCTAGAAAGGGACGGGACGAGAGGTCCTTCGGGCGGAGGATCGGCTGAAGATGGCATATGTTGCGCCTTGGTTCCGTCTCGCTTTGGCCACCGCCCCGCAATGGATCCTTTTCGCTGGCTTTCACTCGCACGCCACGCGGCTCGTCCTGCAGCAAGTAACAATAACAATAACGATAATTCCTTATTGTGTGTGCAAGGCGCGCCAGTTGGTCGAAGGCGGAAACCTCGATCCTCAAGAAGGTAGCGGAGGAGTCAACTGCTAGATGTCCCGGGGGCTAGGACCGAATCCTGGCTGGATTTCGGTCGGCAGTAGGTCTAGTTACAGTTACCCGAAAGTTTGGCGGTAGCAGTTCTGAGCCCACGCAATTAAAGCTGCATCAATCAAAATTAAAGACAATCCGGCAGCGATTCTTAAACGCTATCCAGACACGAAGGGAGAGTTCTTAGGACGCCGGCTATTCGGTAGATCTTCCGCCTTGTATGGATGTGGGGATAGCTTGTGCCAATGTGTCTCAAGGTAAAGGCCATTAAATTCAAATTAATGCTTAATGGCTGGCCACCAACCGCCAAGTTTCACTAGCTTTGTAATAATGTATCCAAGTATAATATATAATCGATGTTGGAGTTGTATTTATTTGAATTTGAAGAGAATACAACGGAAATTGTCAGTGTTGGAAATTACGTCTATAACTTAGTTCCTAAATATAAAATTTTTTAAATTAAGTATATTGGCAACATCAGCGAAAAGCCTCAGTGCGAGAGATAACGGAATATACATAGAAACCCGGGTAAACAGAGGGTATTACCCCTTTTTTTTCTACCCACTTGTTGATATATAATATAAGGTACCTGCAGAATGCATACAACAGTGGACGCATATTTACATGCTCACAAGAAAAACACTATAATCAGTGGCTATATGTGCAGTCTTTACTAAAAGCTTTTGATACCAATGTAAAGTAAATTTCTCATTTAACCATCAGAGCACTACGAGGCATACTCAGTCGTTGTTAGTCAGTGGAGGCACAATTACAGCAATTAAAAAAACACCTTAATCATGAAACTTGACTTGGAATATGTTCTTAAGACTCTTCTCAACACAGTGAGAAGGAAGAAAAAGGCCGAAGAGGATAAAAAACGCATAGTAAGGGTCGAAGATGAGGAAGACATTTCACAGTTTGAAGGATTTACCGAAGGCAAGTACATTTTATATATGCATGTACATTCTAACAAAGAATTTTTATCATGACACCTAGGGATCGTTGACTGGATCTTTCGGATAATCAGCGACTTAACGGTTGCTGTATTGGAGAAACTCTTTGATTTTGTGATGGTGGCCATATTAAAACTGGTCGATGTCGGACAAAACGCGCTGGAGTGGTTCACAAATGAGATAAAAGTGCAAGCAGCCGCCCTGGATGCACTTGTGGAGTATCTCACAAAGTACTTGGGATTCGCCATTGAATATTAATCACAAGAAATTACGATTAATTATCAATTCAATAAATTGCTATGTGGCTTTAATCCATACAAAATCCATGAATATTGGCTATGTAATCTTTGCTGATAAGGGACATCTCAGTGATTTGTCGGAGTGTCAGCGCCAAGAGCTTAAAAAGCTGTAAAGTATAGAAATGAAAATGATTGATTAATCATTTTCCCAGTTAAGCTTCTAGGTTGTTGTATAAAAAGCATTACTGCACGGCTAACAATGATTCAGACAACTGCAACCATATCCGGTTATGTTATCAATTTTTTGCACGACAGGGAAGAATATTATCTAAATCGTTTTAGATCAGAAGCTTCTACAAATAAGAAGAGAGTTTTAATACGATAAGAAAATGAACTATTTTAGTCTTGAGGATTTCAAATATACATATCTGTTCTATTTATAAAAAAACGCTGATGTAATGATACGAAATAAGACTTGAAAAATTAACTTTTGTGTCTTAATGACATTAAAATTGTATTATTATATCTCAGGCTGAAATCAAAGGAATTGGGCCGATGTTTGAAATTGTAGGATAGGTTCTTTTAAGTTTACAATGTAAATAGATGTATTGAATATTTGTTTTCTTAGAAACTCATAGATCTGCCGCTCCAATAGACAAGAGTCGCGCGCTCTTCGTCGCCAAAATCCGTCAGATGTCTGAGTCTGCCAACAGATGTTGGAGTGGAGTAGGCGCTGTTGCTGCAACGACGATCATCAGCGGGGCAACAACTGTTACAAGCAGTAAAAATAAGATAAAATGCAGACTCTAAGTGAAATTGCGCCAAGAGCCGAAATAAAAAGTCGTAGACATTTTCGTTGCTGCACCGAGAAAAATGCGAAGGGTCAGCGAAGCAAAATTCGGGAGTTCGTGACGGAAACTGGCTCCGAAATTCCGCTCAGTGTGCCGGGGGCAGGTCAAAATAATTTGGGTTACTGCGGAAGCGAGAGGAGCAGGAAAGTAACTGGCCGATCTCGATCTGGGCCTCGATCGCCATCCCTATCTCTTTCTAGGGCCAGCTGTTGCCCATTCGGATCCGTATGCTACTATATATCGTGTGGCTGCCACGTGTCGTGGGCAAGTCCATTGGGCAATTGGTCAGTTCGAGCGAACAATGGCCAATTAGTATGCATGCGACTTTGAAAAGTGAACTTCCGATTAGCCACAAAGTTGCCCGAAATGTGCACATACAGTGAAACCTGTCTAGGATGGACAACGAATGTGAAATCTTATACAAGAGATATTTCTCTTACAAAGTAAAACTTGTTATAGTACAAGTGATCCAAACTTTAATTTTTTAAAATACTATTTTTTTTAAGTGATTCGAACGACTGTAATCGAATTATTTGGATTTAATAGATATAAGTCCTTAATTGCATGCAAAATAAAAATGAACATTTTCGTGTAACTCGCAGCCTTAGGAAGAGTTCCTTCAAGAGATGTTCCACTGTAGCTGCAAATATGCAGATAGCTGCACCAGATCGGCTGCAGCAGCTGTAAAATCAATCAAAAACTTGTCAAATAAATGTCATGCATAAGCAATAAGTGAACAGGATGTGGCGAGTCCTCGGCCCCTGTCATCTTGTGGGTGCATAAATTTGCCTCGGCCCAGGACTGTTGCGCACAGGAAGGGCTCACTGTTGGCACTGGTCCCGCTCCTCGCGCAGATAGTCCCCGATCTGCTGGACCACCGTGGCACCGCACTGCTCGGCCAGCTCCACCTGCTCCTCGGAGCTCCGGTGGGTTCTCACCAGGAGCTGGGACGCTTGGTGCAGGGATTGGGCCATTCCGAGGTTGATCCCGGCCATGCCGTTGATGAAGCACACACTTCCGCCCGCTGAGCCCAGAGGATTTAGTGCGGAGATCCCCGCCGTCTGGCACTTTTCCGGCAACTGGGCGATCTGGTGGACGAATTCCTGGACTTTGGCCAAGGCCAACTGGCCCTCGATCCTGAAGTTCTGCAGGAGACTTCCCAAGTTGCCAGTGCAGCCGACCAATTGCAAGGTCACATTTTCGTTGAGCTTCTCCAGGTTCCAGGCGGCATTGCAATCGGGATTGTCCACCATCACCTGGTTGGTCTCGAAGATCACGTCGCTCAACTGGGCCAACGCATTGGCGGTCAGGACCTCGATGTTTCCTGCGATGTCCTCGCGAGTGCGATTCATTTTAGCCTCCAGCTGAACGGTGGTGTCGATGCTCACATTCACGGCAATCTCGGCCAGGTTGTCCACCACCATGGAGACGGGTCCGTCGGCTGTGGTGTCTGTCTGCACTTCGGACTCATAGCGAATCACTTGGCAGTTCTGCAATGAATATAGTTCGGATCTAAGAAGGTTCTATATATGCCAACTTCACTACTCACTGCCAATGTTAATAAAAACAGACTAAATACTGCAAGGGCTTGACTCATTTTGTTTCCGTTGTTTTCTTCAAGTGCGACTGGCCCTCCAACTGACTGGGAATATATAGCAAAACAATCGGATAGTTATGCGATAAGAGTTTGACACTGGAAAATCACACTTAGGAACACAGATCGCCCATTAACATAATGAAAAATTTATTCTACGGGAAACACATCAATATTTTGAGCAACGACGCATGTTTTCAAATATGTTTTTTTTTTAATGACCTCTTTATGTACTCTTAAAAATTTAAAAACTATACGTGTTCTAACATAATGATAATAATAAACTTACAAAATATTGTAACATTTTAAAACCTTTTAAGATACATATGTAAATATTTTTGTAAGTTATTTTATTTTTCTTAGTGTGCAAGCTGCTTCTGGTAGCTATGAAACTCTTTTTGAAAAGGTATAAGATTGATCGGAGGTATCAAACATAACTTTATTTTAGAAACAGTTTAATTTATATTCGAGATGGGAGTAGAACGGGTGTCTTGTCTGTTGCTGCTTTCTATTCTTTGTGTAACCAGTTTATAATTGAAGGCGGATTATAAAGATTAATAATTACTTTTTACAGGTTCATGGCCACTTGCAAAGGATCTGGAGTCAGAACGGGCCGCTCTACGAGTCCACAAAACTACTTTTAGCAGGCCAAAGCACCAGTGCTGCCAGGATATGGAACAGAACCCAGCTGGCGATCTATGAGCGATCCGAGCGACTGCAGGTGGCCAAGGATAACCTCGATGAGCAGCAGCGGAGGGTGAGTGCCCGCCTGGAGGAATTCTTCGAGGGTCAGTACAGTGCCGAGTGGCAGGTCTGCGCCAAGAAGTACGAGCTCCAGGTGGCCCACTTCAATCGGGAGCTGTTGGACAAGTACAGCGTCTGCCGGAACTCGCTGGACCACGTCATGGATCACTTTCAGCAGGAAATCGTCCTCGAGGCGGAGTTCCTAAGCAAGGCTTCCTCTCAAATTGCTAACCTTGCGAAAAAGTGCAAGACTTGGCAACTGAAGCAGTCCGGATTCAATCACGCCGGAGTTCTGTTCTGCACCGTGGCCGGAATAGGAGGCATCAATCAGCGGATGTCCGGCTGCCTGGAGCTCTGCGATGACATCCTGTTGGAGATGGCCATGGAGGACTTGGACACCCCGAGCTGCCTCTTCTACCACCACCTGAAGATGCAGTTCGATGAGGTCCTCGATCAGATTGATTCCTGTGCTGGAAACTAAGTAAAGCAAATAAAGTAATTCGCAATATGATATGATATTCTTGTAGTATTCATAGTAATAGCTTTTCCTTTGGTTGGCCATTCATAAAAAGCTCGCATGAAGTGTAAACTCTGTTTACCTAAACATTGCCCCTTGGGGAGATATATATAGCGTAATATTGGCGATAAGTCGCGATTATCGAGCTCTAATCACCTCGTGGCCACTTAAGGAAATCCAAGTGCGGTATCAGCGATAGTGTTTTACGAGCCAAGTTATTCCGATAAGGTAGCTGCTCGAAATCCCTCCTCAGTTGCTCCGAATCCGTTGGCCGGGCAAAATGGTTGGAAAATCTCTGCTCCTATTGGCCAGTGTGCTGCTCCTGGCTCTTGGTGGTGATGCCCACCAGGAGCTGGAGAATCTGCTGCTTAAACAGCAGGCGGACTTGCAGTTGTCCATCGATGAGGTGGCGGCCCTGCGTCCGCTCTTTCGGGAGTTCCAGGCCCAGTTCGACTATCTATACAGTGTGAAACTCCAGAGCGGCGATGGAAGTGATAAGAGTTCGGCAGAGGAGCCTCAGCTGGACAGCAACTACCTGCAGGTCTTCGAGGACTTTCGCAGCAGTTTCGCCATTTACCTGGACGAGAAGCCTCGAGTGGTGTACGACACCCAACTGCCCACCGTCGAGGAGATAATGGGGCAGCCCAGTCCCGATTTAAATCCAGATCAGCGGGCGGAGTTCGAGGATCTGAGGGACATAATTCAGGACGTGATTGACGAGGCCCAGCTCGGCATCGATGACCTCGTGGCTCGAGCTGTCCAGCTGGAAACAAATCTTCTAAAGCTCAACAAACCAAAGATCGTGACGGCCGCCATCGTCGGATTGGGATACATGTGGAACTACTGGGGGCGTGGAAGTCAGGCGGCCTACTGCAGCTACTCGCAGGTTCCGGAGTTCCAGATAGCCCTGCAGTCCATCAACGACGGCGTCGATTGCTACTCCCGCACGATGGCCCTGATCCTGCGCATCCAGAACGAAACGGTGGCCGCCGTGAAGGAGATCAAGAGCAATGTCGGCAGCCTGGTGAAGATCTACAAGAAAATCGTTGCCAAGCAGACCACTGTGGGAAAGATCCTCTCAGGCACCATTAATGCTCTCAGTGCAATTCGCCGGGTTCACGACATAATCGCCGTGGGGATCGATGTCTACGGCAAGATCAACAACCAGTTGCCCGGGGAGGCAATCCAGTCCGCGCAGTGCGGTGTGATCTTCGTCAACAGCATACCGCAAATGCTGGAAACGGTACAGAACCTGACCACGTGCATCACCTACGTGAATCCGGAGAAGCCGGACTACGAGTTCACCCACCCGGAGGAGGATCGCTACTGGAACACCGGCGCGGAGCCCCCGGAAATTCCCCACGAGAACGAAGTGGACGAGGATGACGACGACGAGGACTACGCGGAGTTGGACGACTACGAGGATCATAGATAAGCGGGTGGAATTTCCACTGAACGATTAGCGAAGAAATCTTAATAAAAACCATCCAGATAATGCTTTCCTCGGCTACAGTATAATACATCGCTTAAATTAGCAATGATTGTGATTAAAATAAAGTTTTAAACGAAATAAGTGATTAGAAGTTCATACTTGGGTAAAAGTTATACTAGTAAACAACATTTTCCTGAAGAATGTTTAATCAGAGTCATACTTACTACACAATTCCCACAGATTATGCTCCATTTCTCAGGCGTTATAACGAAAGTTCTTATCTCTAAATTGGCAATCGCATAATTTGATTAATTTATTGCACACAAGGAACAGTAGCTCTATATCGGTTTACTGGGTTACTTGAAAAATAGTGGTTAGGTATATTTCAAATGATGTATATTTGTTACGTATTAAAAATTCAGATTAAAGGCAAGCAAAAAAAATGCTTTAGTAACTAGACTTGAAAATCTACTTGGCTTTGGATTTTTCGATTTTTCACAGATCAATCTGTTTCCTGAAGGGCTCCTTTGAGTATCTTTACTTTGGCTGGACACGATTGACATTAATATCGCTCTCAGTGGCAACCGTGGCTATAAAGTTATAAAATGCACTCGTATCTCGCGGACAATGACTTGGCTCCTATGACTAGATTCTGGACTTGGGACTGGGCACTCTGACTAGACGTCGCTCTCCTTCATCTGGCGGACGTACTGCTCGCTCCACGACTTGTTCAGTCCTTCGAGACTGATCGCCGCAGGACCTGCCGCCTGAGGCGTGCTCTGCGACTTTGAAACGTTCCTTCCGGTGGGACTGGGTGGTGGCTTTTCCGAGCCGAAGGCCTGCGGCAAGGCAATGGCATCGGCCATCAGGGTTTGGCGGCACAGGGCGGACAAGGCACTGCCAGGACTTGGCGGTGGGTCCTTGGGCTTCTTGTGGCCCCTGCGCAACTTCGAGGTGAGAGTGGCGAATCCCAGCTTGCTGGAGATCTTGGCACTCCGGCTGACCGCTCGGGGCAAACTGTCGTAGGCACTGGAGTGGCCCACGCTCTCCTGATCCGTGGACACCTCGTGGTAGTGCTGATGCTGCATCGCTGCATCCTGGACAGCGGCTCCTGCTCCGGCTGCTCCTGTTCCCCGCATGCTGCCCGCACTGATGCTCTTCTGCAGCACCACAGTCTCGGTTTTCTTACTCGGCGTTAGGGGTTCCTGGCGGGGAGTGACCGGAGCGCTCTGCAGGAACTGCGCCTTGGCCAACTGGAGGCGAATTGCCCTCTCCGAAAGGGGCGTGGCTGGGCGCTCAGACGTGAGAACCTGCGGAGGCGGGAACTCAAACTGCTTGGCCTTCGTGGGCGTATTGGGATGCTTTCGCTGGATTCGCGGCAAAGTGTTGTCCTGTTTGTTGGGCAGGACCAGGGGAACTGGCGCCGGTGGAGGAGGATGCACCCGGGAGAAGCTGGGACCTGAGCTGGTTTTCGCTATCTTGTGCTCGATTTTGTTGCTGGCATTCGCACTGTGGGACTTGTGCAGTGAGTTTTTCTTGTAGAGATGCGCCTTTCGGGGAGGAACTGGTGGGTTACTTAGCTCGTGGGTTTTCCTGGACTCCGCCAGTCTCTCCATGCTGTCGCTGGCCAGGGGAGGACGCACGAAGAGGGTTCCCCGGCGGAAGCTCTCGCTGCTCTGGCACTTGCGCAGGTCCTCTTTGTTGGGCGGTTGGTTTAGGCGCTCCAAGCTGATGGACTTGTACAGGTTGAGGGGCTTGATGGGGCACTTGGGCCTCTCCGGCTTCTCCTCCGTGGGACTGTCCAGCTCCTTCTCGATCACAGCTATGCCTTCCGCGGCTCTCGGTTCCGGGACGGTGGTGAAGATCTTGCGCTTGGTCTTCACGAAGACATTCGCGTTGGTGTTGTACGCTCGATTGTGCTCCGGCAAAGGAGGCGGAATAAAGGCGCCCAGCTTTGTGGGCGGAGTAGCAACAGCCGGAGGCGGGGATGAAGTCGTGGGCGTGATGGATGCAGTGGAAGATGGAGCAAGGTCGGGAATCACTGGAAGCGGTGCGGGTGCCACACTCTGACTCTGCTCGATGAGTTCCCCCGGCTTGACTTTCAGCGAACCGTAGACGATTTCTTCCCTGACTGGAGGCACCTCAGCGTCCAGCCGGAAGTCGTCGTCCAGGGAGCGCTGCTTCAGGCGGAAGTTCTTCCGCCGCAGTCGACGGGGTGTCTCCAGCACCGAGTGGGTGTCCGCGTCACTGCTGTCGCTCTCCGTCTTGCTGTTCTGCCGGGAACCCATCTTGCGCAGGCGCAGCAGCTTCTTCTTGGCGCAGGAATTGGCATTCGAATTCGCGTTGGCATTCGCATTCACATTGACGGCCGGCAAGCTGGAGCGGCAGAGGGTGCCAGTGGTGGTGCTGGTCTCTGTTTCGTGCTCCATCGGCGAGGCTGCACTGGCACTGGCACTTTCGTCCTGGGCCAAGCGGTCCCGGCTGGAATTGTCGCAGGTGGCATACGCGGAACTCGAGTCCAGCTGCTGCCCATCCTCGCTGGTGATGTTGATGTCGGGCACTATGTCCCGGGGATAGCGATTCGTACCGCCCTCTGAATGGTAGGTGAAATCAGTTTTGAGCGATTGGTTAGGCAAAGGAAATCCTTACGTATGCTCAGCTTAAGACACTGCAGACATTCCTGCAGTCCCTGCAGCTCCTCCAGGTACTCCAAAGTGCGCTCCTGCATGGTCTCCTGGCAGCAGGCCTCGTCCAGTGGCGACTTTAGGCTCTGCCGTGTGGTATTTAACATTAATTCATTTTAAATAAATATTTCTAATCACATTACCAGCTCTGTGAGGCGTCCCAGTTCGCTCTGGACATCGGATATGGCGTTGAGCACGCCCGGCTTCATCAGGTTGTTCGAGTAGTACGGATAAATGCTGCGAATGCTCAGCAATGCGGCCTGGCACTCCCGCATGGACGGGTGCTCCACCAGGTCGGGCGAGGCATTCCTCAGCTGGCCGAACAGCTCATCGGCACGTTTCAGTGCGCCCAGCAAGGGGGCCAGATTCGTGTGCGACTCGAAGCTCTGGACGCGACGCGAGTTGCTGGAGGGGATGGGAAGCTATTAATACAATATCCGGGAGATCGGGTTCGCCTTGGAGCTCTTACACGTAGTCGTTGCACTGCACCTCCTCGTACTTGTAGATGGGCGTCTGCTGCTCCACCAGGGTGTGCGCGGTGACCAGTGGCGAGGCGGTGTCGTGGATGTGCTCCTCCACCTCGACCATCACCGCCTCTGGCTCGTCGTACTTCTTGAACTCGTGGTCGGTGAGGGCGTCGGTGCTGTCCTCGATCTCCTTCAGGTCGTTGACGTCGTTCAGGGACAAGGAGGAGGCCTGCTGGGAGATGGCCTGCATTGGATTGCAGTTCGGCGACACGCTGTCCAGCGAAAGCGAGCGACTCAAAGTGGGCGAGTGATCCGCAGTCACTAAGAGGAGATTGGGATTAACTCTTGTTGTCTGTGACTTCCGATACTCACCCTTATTGCAGTCCTTGTTGATCCTTCGCACATCGATGGGACAGTAGCCCGGATGCAGCAGGGCAAAGGTGGAGGCCTCCGGTCCGATGCCCCTGGCCTTCTCCCACTCGTACAGCTTCCTGGTGAACTTCCGCGAGATGCCCTCGAACTTCATCACCTCGCCGTCCGAGGTCTTCACCTCGATGTTTTTGGTGTGATCTGGTACTACAATGGCCTTCAGCAGGGACAATCTAAAGGGGTTTTTAAGGGATTAGTGTAGAAGCTTCATGAGTTTATGGCTCTCAACTTACTTCTCTTTGTCGTGCGGCTTGTGCTTGTACCATCGATCGTCGTCGGATCCCCTTCTCGTGGACTGACTGTGCTTGGAGCCCCGCTTCAAGGAGTCGGTATCGGAAGTGGTGCCGCCACCAGGAGCGCACTTCAGCCTGTTCCATTGTTCTATGGAAAGTCATATTATACCATTAATATATATACTAGTATACCAAAGTGTTTGGTTACCTACCCAACTTCTTCTGGAACTTCTCGGGCAGATCCTTTTGGTCGGGCAGGGCACACAGACCCTGGCCCTCCAGCTTCATCTGGCCCGTGCTCCACAGGTTCCAGTCGATCTTGGGCTTCACCTCGCCACTCTGGCTCTTGGCCGTGGGACTGGCAGCAGGTTCGTATGATCCTCCCGAGCAGTTCTGCTGCTTGGCCCGCCACTTGTGCAGCTTCTTCTTGAACTGCGGCGTGAGATTCTGCTCCAGTTGGGCGGTGGACATGAGCTCGTTGTGAAGCAGTTGCGTCGGTGAGTGCTCCTCGCTGCTGCGCTTTCCACTGCCAGCTGCTCCTCCTGCTGCTCCACTGCCCAGCTTGATACCTGAAATAATTAAAGTTTTTTTAATAAGAGTTTTACAGTATCGATCTTTAAGGTTGTCAAGGGAGATCCCTACTGCGGTTGCTGGCGCTGGATCGCTCCATTTCGCGCTGCTTGTCCTTAAACTCCGAATCTAGTTTGAGTACGAGAAGTTGATAATGTTGAAAAACCTCCTCATCTTCGGTTTGTGGGAAATTCTTACAGTTTGGCGTAGTGGGCTCCGAGAAATCGCCACTGGAGAGATCCTCGCTCTCTGAAAGAGGTTTCGGAATTAAAAAATGGCTCTTGCACAGAAAAGAATTCGGGAGTATCGCAATGATCTACTCTTGAATCCTTCGTACTGCTCACCCACCGAATTCACCGAAGAAATCCGACTGCCTGGAGGGACTGCTGGGCACGGATGAGGTTCCTGGCGAGTGGACGCGACGCGACTTGGGACTCTTCAGAGGCAAGTGCAGTTGCGGCAGATCGCTGTACATCTGGTTCACCTGGTTGAGATTCAGCGGACTCGGCGGCAGCTTTTGCCTTCGGCTGCTGGTGGCCTTTATCTCTGCTACATGATCCTCGGGCAGGACCTCGAAGTCGGAGAAGGCCTTCGATCTTCGCAGCGACTTGCTGGACGAGGACTTGGCTGGCAACGGCGGAACGGAGGCTTTGATGTTGTCCAGTCGTTCGTCTGTGGCGGATTTACGCAGCTCCACCTCAAAGTTGGAGGAGCGGGAATCGCAGCGCGTATCACTCTTGGAGGAATCGCGACCTGGAAAGGATTTAGGTAACATCTAAAGTTCTTCAGGGAAATATTTTAAATGAATTTACGATAGTTCGGACGGCTTGCCGCCTCTAAGTCATCCATGGAGCTGGCCGAGCTGATGGTCCCAGGTGTGCCGCCCGTATCACTCATGAAATGACCGGAGGATGAACTAACAATGCTGTCCGCAGAACTGCTTCCTGCTGCCACACTGATGGGCACCTTTAGGTATCTAATAAACAAATAAATGTTATAAAGTTTACAGGATATTGAATGCTGATGCAAACCTTTCCACCTCGTGGTTGAGTGGCATCAGGACGTGCGTTTCCGGAGCACCTGGTCCCGATGGCGGCACATTGGCCCGCTCCCACTTGAAGGCGGCCTTGACCTTGGTCCACTTGGACACCTTCGCCTTGTTGTCGCTGTAGGTGCTCTGGCGCCTCAGGAGATAAGGACGCGAGGAGCTTAGCTTAATGCTAGGACGATCGCCCTTCATGAAAATGTTGAGGTCCTCGTCCATCATAGACTTGCTGCGCTCCCGAATGCTATTAAAATAAAGGTTTTAAATATTTAATAGTACAGATATATGGGAGACCCTTACCGCTTGAACTTGCCCTGTTTGAAGGGCGGAACCACCTCGGTGCCCATAAGGGATTCCAGCCAGGTGAGCGAGTGCTCGAGGTCGAACTGGTGGTCGTTCGTGTTGGATCGAGGTGGCTTCGCGGGAGGAAGCTGCTGCCTGGCGGCTTGACTAGTGGAAGGAACATCGTCGTCCAGGGCGGACAGTTCCGCCTCCCTCTCGCCCGCCTCGTTGTCGGCGATGGTGGACAGACGGTGCTCCAGGAAGCCCTCCAGCAGGGCATACGTCCGGGTTAGTTCGTCCATCGCTTCGATGGCGGAATTCAGACGAGTTTTCAGCGGTTCGATGGTGCCCCGATCCGCCCGGTAGGGCTGGCACTTGGAGCAGGAGTGCTTGCCCAGCTCGCAGACGGGCAGATCCTTGGGTTCCCGTCTCTCGAACTTCGGGGAGGCGGAGAGGTTGCGAGCCCGGGAGGCCACGGCCGGGAACTGGAAGATGTTCTCCTCCGCGCGACCACACATCGCCGGCGGAGCCGTGGGCAAGGACTCGTAGTGCAGGACATTGTGGCGACCGGAACGGGTTCGTCGCGGTTTCGGAGGTGGCTGCGGCGGCGGCGGTGGCTTGTCCCAGTCCATCTCGATATCGCTCAATCGGTCTCTGTTTGTTTACTCTGCCCGATACGCCACTAAAAACGCACACAAGACGAGAAAATCCGAGAATTATCAAAATCCGGAGGTTGTTTATAGAAGAGGAAGACCGATGTGGAACGTCCGCCGCCAAACGCACACATAAACGAGCCTTAAAGTGTAACGATTAAATCCACGAAATGTAAACAATAATTTCGAAAATCCCATTTCAGCACGTTTCCCCACATGTGCGAAAGTTTTGAATATTTTCCAAAAATATGCACGCGTGTGGTCACTTAACCGAAACGGAGAACCGATCCGGAATGCACTGGGCCGTCGTGTTTTGGGTCTTGGTTACGGTTTTGGCCCGTAAGTTGGAAGCCAGAACTCGGAACTCAGAACTGGATGCCATCGATCGTCGGGCGGCCCGCAGAAGAACAAATAAAATCACGCCGCAAACCAAACCGAACTATTTTTAAAACGCTGACACTCTTTTGTTTGCCTCCCCATGGCGATCGCGCCGCGGCACACACCCAGTGCTCCTCCCATGGCCCCCGTTTACGATTCCTCCGCGCAAAGTGCGCACACTTCCTTTATTCCACTTTTAGGTTACACGCAATTAATATTTCCAATTTATGCGAAAGTGCACGCACTAGCGGGGGAAATGGACTGACTGACTGGATGGATGGATGGGTGGACGTGGACCAGTGGGTGGATGGGTGAATGGGTGAATGCGTGGATGGGTGGTGCTGCGAGCAGATCATGTGTATCTCAAGTCGGCGGCCCCCATTACTTTCGCCACTTTCCGAACGTTATATCGAAACTGTTGCCACACATTGAATACACACATTTTTCTTTTCTCCACTCGACTTTTCTTCCTGGCTGCGCTTCTTTTGCTTTATGGGTTTATGCGCAAGGTTGTCGGGCTATTTTCGGTTGTTCGCCAGTGTTTTGTTGAAAGGAAAAACAATAACAAATTATTACTTGCACTTTTCCCATGCACACTCGGTCGTCCGCCTCGCCGCGGAATTTTCTTCGGTTACTCTCTCACTGATTCTCGCGATTTTCCGCGACTCGAAATTCCGTATACGTCCGTTCCGCTCGTCGGTCGAAGCTATTCTGAGCGGCACGGCGCTTTTGAACGCTTCGAAAAAGTCGGAAAATGTGAGATTTATTTTTAGAGAGGATCTGGCTGCCGGATCTCTTTGTTGATTTCAGATTTCTCTTAAAATCTTATCTATCAGTGGCATTTTGAGTCTAATCTGGAGGATGATAAATCTAACGGGCTTTAAGCAGGGTCATAATTACAGTTATCCAGTATAAAAAGTTTTAAAAACTCGATCAGCATACGGACATCGTAATGAAATTAAACTGTTTTAAAGCGTTGTATCTTAAAAAGGGAAAATAATTATTGTTTTTATGTTTTTATTTCAGTTATCAAATAAGTCCTTTGAAGAACTCTTTTGAAATTTGAATAACTTAGTTTAACGGTACATAGCCTTACCGGTCTTAGCAAAGTTTTACACCGTTGTTCTGGAACAAGACCACCTGAACGCCGGCAACAGTGTTGAAAATCACCTTTTTTTAAGCAGCCCTGGCGGCGAGGTTATGCAAAGAGGTTTACAGTTGGAGTCCGGTAAATAAGCTAATCTTTGAAAGAAATGCAGTCCATCGTAAGCTCCATGAGGGCTCTGGCACTGCGCCAAACCTCGGTGGAGCCACTCCGCTTGCTGCATCTATCCGCCGTTAGCGAGGCGGCCCGAAAGGGAACCCGAGAGAAGGCCCGCAAGAAAAAAGTCAAGGTGGAAGTAAAGAAGGTGGGATTCATCCCACACAACCAGCGCAATAAGAAGTAGGTAATTAAATGGCTCCAAAATCCAGGACTAACATCCTCCCCTCTTCTAGAATCAATGTGAAACGGGCGGACAAACATGTGGACGACTCCTGGAAGCAGGTGCCCAAAGACGATTGCTATGTTGGTCGCTACTATCGCTGGCCAGTGTACTCCGTCCAGGAGGCCATCCAGTGTCACCGCGAAACACACCATCCCAGCATGTACAATGTGCCCAATGCTCCCCTGAATGTAAACATCGAACTGAACATGCAGGCAGAGAAGATCACCCGCTTTGTAGACAATTTCCAGCGCATGGCCATGATTCCGCATAAGTTTGAGCACGGCGAGGAGCGCAAGATCATAGTGTTTACTAAGGGAAATGTGAGTAAAGCTTTGTGTATTTATGATCCCTTATTACCTCCATTTCTATCCTTTACAGATCGAAGTTCTCGAGGCTAGGGAAGCTGGCGCCTCGCTTGTCGGCGGCGTGGAGCTCATCAAGGACATAACTAACGGGGAGCTGCTGCTCTCCGACTACCAGTACATAATCGCCCATCCGAACATCCTGGCCGAACTGGTGGCTCTGCGTGGCCTGATGAAGCGCAAGTTTCCCAACCCCAAGAGTGAGACGCTGGGCACAAACCTTGCAGAGATGATTGTCAAGTTCTCCAGCGGCATCAGCTACAGTGCTGCCAAGGATGAAAACCAGCAGAACTTTGGACTGATCACCGCCAGTGTGGGAACCCTGGACATGGATGCGCAGAAGCTGGAGGATAACCTAAAGTTTCTGCTGCAGGATGTCAACTCTATGAGACCGAAGCGCGAGGGTCGATTTATCACCCGTGTTCTGCTGAAGAGCCCGCCCAGCAGTGAGCAGCTTAAAATCGATCCCTTTGTCTACGTTCCCGAAATGTGGGAAAAGAGTACAGCGAAGGTAAAGAGGGAGGAAACCAAGAAGCAAGAGGAACCGGAGGAAAGTCAGGAAGCCGTGGCCTCCAATTAGTTAATACAAATGCCTATGTATTTTTGTTGATGGATCGTTTGTGCATACTTTAAACTTACATCTCCTAGAGTTCTAAACAGTCTACGTTACTTTGGCGGCATTATGTTGCTCCTAAGCTTTCTGGGCGGGCGTGCTGCGCTGCTGGTGCTGGCGCTGCATCTCCAACTGCTTCACCCTTGTGTATGCGGCACTGGCCAGAAGCACCACCACATTGGAGGTCCACCAGAGCGCCGATCGAACGTCGTTGTAATACTGGGTGGCAATCACCGTTTGTGCGCAAGCCTTGGCGGTTCCCGAGATATTGTGCGTCAGAGCGGAAGTGACCTGGAAAATCGATCGGGTAAGATAAGCGGTAAACACGTGGATTTGCTGTTGATTACCTTGATTTCCAGCGCTGTGACAAACCCGATGGCGAAGCCACAAATGCCACTTAGGGTCATAGCGGCCCAGAACCAAGAGGCCCACAGATATGGGTACGTGATAATAGTCTCCAGTTCGCCGTTGATGATGATCAGGGGCAGAAAGAGCAGGGTGGAGTACAGGTTGTTGTAGTAGCTCAGCAGCCACACCTCTTGGTTGACATAGCCCAGAGACTTCTTAGTCTGAATGGAGAACATGGCCAGGGCCAGCGAGCTTAGAACGCCGAAGATGGTGCCCCGCCAGGAGAATACCTCCGTGAGACTCTCCTGATCCACTCCCAGCCAGAATCCAATGACAATGGCGGCGCAGCACAGCAGGCACTTGAAGCTCGTTCGCTGGCGGAGGATCACGTAGGTGAGGACCACACTAAACACGGTGGTCAGGGAGCGGCCTATGTAGTAGAAGGCCACCGTGACGTAGGATAGCGACAGATTGTTAGCCCCGATCATCAGGGTGTAGAGCACGGATAGAGGTAGAATCTTGCGGAAAGTGTCGATGTCTAATGGATTCCCCTCGGGAAATGTAAAGACCGAGGGGTACTTTCTGCTCAGACGACTTCCCACGAAGCAGATCACGGTAGAGACCACGCATTGAAACCAGGACATGAAGAGCGGAGCCCCCAGGTTAACAGTGTCGCTGCTCAGCAGGTGTTTGTTCACGAATACCGTCAGTATCGAAGTGCACCTGTGGAGGGCAAGGAACTGCATATGTCCCGCAAAATGGAGGTACTCTACTACTGCTCACCAGTAAAGTGCCACGACGAAGAATATTTTTAGGTATTTGTTTACCAGCCGGTTGTGCTCCTCCAGATTCTTGTACATGTTGGAGTTTCGGGATTGTAGTCCAATTTGTGCGAGGGAAAGCAATGGTGCGTTTATTCTGATACGTATCTGCAACCCGGTCTGCCCATCAGCTGTTTTCAAAGAGAACCTTTTAGCTGTAAGCGGGGGTGGTTCGAGAAGTTTTTGTACTACAAAAGAACTTATATATGTAATAAAATAATTATAAAATAATAACCAAAATCGACATGGGTGATCACATATGTTTTTCCTACACGTTAAACAATTTTTAAGAAAAAATAAACAAGTTATAAGAATATAATCCTCCACGGGCTTTAACAATAGTGTTACCATGGCAAATTTTGGTGTAGCAGCCAATGCCCCAAAAAATGGCACCCACATATGCAATGCTTAAATCAAATTTATTCAACAAAATTCTTGTTAGTTTCTGTTCATAACATCTTCTCTCGCTAGTCAACCATCCGTAGATAAAAATATATATATTATAGTGCTTCTCTCTTAATCTCTCTCGGACTTTAAAAATACAGGGGGGGTTCCATCCTATTTCTCCCACTCGCGGAACTCGGTTCCATCGGGCGGCTTCACGGTGACCTTCTCCTTGCCCACCTCGCTCCAGTTGGTGCTGAGCACGGTGCCGCCTGACTCCGAGAAGGACTTGTTCATGGCCTTTTGGACCTCCGGGGAGGATGTGCTGTAGATTTTCTTGAAAAGGTTATTGAGGGCCGTCTCGCCCTTGGCCTCCTTCTCGTCAATCTTCTCCTCCTCGCTGACCAGTTGGTCCCAGTTGGTTTTGCTCTGGGGCTTGGGAGCCGCAGCCACTACGGCCTTCTCTTCTAGGTTCTCCCAGCGGATACCCGTCTCCTTGGCCAGAGTGATCTCCACCTTGGAGGGGAAGGCCTTGTGCGAGGACCTCTCCACGACAACGGGGTGTAGCAGTTTCAGATCCAGCTCATAACCATCAGCCGTCATGTGGACCCGGTTTTCGGAAATCTCCACCGAGTAGTTTTTGTCGGCGGCGTTCTTCAGGAGCACGGTGATGACCACTTTGGTCTCCGACTGGTACCAGTCGTGGCGCACGGACATCTCGCTGGCGTTCCGGTTTTAGCAAATTTTACTTTACTTTTAACGCCTTTTGAAAATATTATATTTTAACTTTGTTTCGAATTATCCAGAAAATCAGCCTGTTAACTTCAAGCAGTGATGCTAATTAAGCTTATTTAAAGCTAGATCTAGCAGCTCCTAAACGCTCCAAGACTAGTGCTGCAAAATTAATACAGAAAACGTCTGCATAGGGAGCCCTGTACTGATTTGACTGGTATGTGACAAGGATTACAAGGTTGTTAACCCGGCTAAAATGGGAAGATGTACTTGCTATGTGATGTACTTTCCAACACTGCAAAAATTAAAAAAAAGGCGCGCGTTTTAAAATTAATAGTTGTTTTTCCCTTGTCAACTAATACCATTATTCTTAATTTTTTAAATAAATGAGAAGCTATCTGACTGAAAAATATATTTCTAGTAATCCTCGCAAAAACTTTAAGCTGTGTGTTTGCCGACAAAAATAGAACAACTATTTGCAAGAAACGTATAATATACAAGAACTAAATGGTGCACACACAAACCGCAGGCAACTGAAAACAAAGTTTTGGCCAATTTACGTGCACTTGAAGTTTGGCAATCAATACGTTGGTTGGGGGAAAACAGCAGTCGAAAGCGCATAAGTCCCGACGACAGCCGACATAAATTCCGGAGCCCCTGCTCCTCCCACTCCTCCAATGGAATCCGCATCCTATATCGTTGCGTTGTCGAAGTTTGTTCAAAGTGACAGCAGAAATGAAAAGTCGAAGAGCTGAGGGCAGAGCAAGAACAAGTTGGCCAGAAAGTATTCTCTCCTTTTAAATTTTATGACTCGAGCTCGAAATTTTTTCATGTTTGCGTTTCCCATCAATTGACTATTATCTTTTCAGGATTGAATAACAATTGTGACTTCTTTACAAATCCCGAGAACAATGAGAGCGAGATGATGCATTTTGGGGAGAAAATCAAGGAGGATGCGAAACGCAAGTGGACAATGTTGGCTTAAGGCTATCAAAATCTGACAATTGCAAGAACTGTAGGCTTAAAATTAACTTCTTTTTAACATTTTAGTAGTGGCAGTTTTTCCTTTACAATAAAAGAATTTTTTTTAATTTTCATATTTATTTAATGAATTTTTAAGATATTTTTAAATTTTATTTGCGATATAATGGCCATTTTACAAAATTTCCAGAAATCTCGGTGAATACAATCGTATTAACATTCAACTAACATTTTTTCAAGGAGGAGAAAAAGTAACAGCAGTGTTCCGATTCCTTGCCTTAGGAACGCATGGATTATCGCATGCGAGAAGTGAATATCTGTTACCTAACAGGAGTGGGCGGGGAACCTTTGCAGCCAAGCTGCAGTTAACAGCTTGCTGAATGAGCGAGAGAGAATGCAAGGTATCTGTTAAGTTCAGCCTTACATGTAGAGTTTGTGTAGAATGAAAAATCTTATCATTTTGATTATTTATTTTCTTTACTTTAGGAAATATTAGTAAATATTCGATTTATGATTTCAAAAATATTTTTCTTTAATTAAATAAATATTGTTTCCATGGAAAAGTCACTTCAACATTTAAAACCTAATAATAATTATATTCTTATTTGGGCAATAACATAGTAGTTAAGCATGTGTGAATAATAAATATACAGCTCAATAAAGTCAGTTGATATTATAATTGGTAGTTGTTTCCGCACCTCGCCAACATTGCACTATGTGGCCATTAATAACAATTAACTGTGATTCATTATTGAAAGGCAGTATCCTATTTTCGCCAGCTCCCCTCTTCCCCTTCCCCTTACCCTTTCCCCATCCATATCCACATCCACCAGCCAATCGAGCGGAACTGGCAGTTCAAAACCGAAATTTATCGAAAACTTTTAGTAAAGCAAATATTGATGTTCCTCCAAGTAGGGGAGTGGGCGGTGGGTAGTGGGTGGATGGCAAGTGCAATGTGCACTAGTGCGGTTGGCATACAAATAGCTCCTGCCGCTGCACTCGGCACGCGGATGGGATATATGAGTAGGAGGACATGGGGGGAGGGTAAGAAACAAGATAACCCCGTCTTGGTGGCCCTGTTTGTTTGTCACTTGTGCCTCTTGCAGATAGTTCAAGGGTGAAAAATAAAACAGACACAGCAGACCAACAATTGACACCGCCCACGCGCCCCAAAACTTTCGCTCTCTCCTCTTAAGTTTTGCTGGCTAATGGAGGCCATTTTACACACCAGCTTGGGCAAACAGCCGTTTGACACACCAACACGCCACTCACAGGCAATCCTTTCCCGGACTAAGCCCGCTCCGAAGTGCGACCACTGATTAATGGCTTAAAATGTAGGAAGCCATAACCGTAAACCTATATTAGGTCAGCATCCGCAGTGTCGTTATTTGCATGATAAAAGTGAAGTGGTTGCCACAGCAAAGGTGGCCCTTCGCCTGCCGATTGATGCAGTATTAAGCAGCAGACGGGAGGTTATGGCCCACAGGTCCTGCGGTGCCATAAAAGCGGGCAGAAGAAGATAAAACTCAAATTGCAGCAACGAACACGTCCGGCAACGAAGCCCTGCAATTGATAATCCAGTTGCTTGGCTAGCGACGTGACTTGGTCAACTTTAAAGCCGACCATTTGGACGGCACTTCATCGTTAAAGTTGCACTGCAACAGAATGGGAAGGTAAACAAGGTTTTACTCTAAGTTTTAGTTTATTCCGAAAAGCCGTATATCTTGACATTGCCAGCGTCCCTTCGCCTGTCGCTGTCCTTCTCGTCGCAGGCGTAGGCCAGCAGGTATTGCTTCGGGTGCCAGGCCACCGTGAAGGTGGAGGCATCCACGTGGATGTCGGTCACTCGTTCTCCCGTCTCCGTGAAGGCGATGTCTATGATGAGATCCTCGCTGGCCGAGGCAATCAGTCGTTCGTCGTGGCTGAAGGATATGGTGCGGACGGGCCACTCCAGGCGGCTGATCATGCGCAGGCAGGCCAGCTCGTTGGCATCCCATAGGGAGACTTGGGCATCCGCCGAGCCAGTGGCAAAGTATTTTCCTGGTAAAAGAATAAAACGTTTAATCTTAAAAAAAAGATTTCGCAGCCAAGAGAATAACTTTCATACCCGTCGGTCCGAACTCAATGCAAATGCAGTTGGCGGGATGGGCCTTCAGCGTCATCTGGTGCTCCAAACTGGGATAGTTGAGCACATGCATGCACCCGAGTCCGTTGGTCAGGAAGAACAGATCGTTGGTGTTGTTCCACGAGATCTCATTGACCTCAAAGCTGAAGGGCTCCTCTACGCGAATCTTGTTCGTGCGCGTGTCGATGAAGGTGATTAAGTCCTCCTTGTTGCCCACGGCTATCGTCTTCCCGTCCGGTGACCAGGCTATGTTTATGTTCTCTCCCTTCGTGTTGGTCACCGAGACGCACTTCCCGGCCCGTATGTCCCAGATTCTCACGGTCTTGTCCCCGCTGGCGGTCGCAAACTGGTCGGGATTTGTGCGGTGCCAGCAGAGCTGATCCACGGAGGCAGTGTGTCCCCGGTAGATGCTGCCCTTCAGAAACCGATCCCGCTCCAAGGAGTAGACCGCCACCGTCTTGTCAAAGGATCCGGAGGCCAAGTGGCGACCATCGGCGTTCCAGCAGACAGAGTGAACCTATAAAAGGGAGGTTTACAGATCGGCACCAAAGGATTGCAGGGAAGCCAAGCTCACCTTGGACATGTGCGCCCGCTGCTCGCGAATCTTGCTGTGGCCTCGAAAGTACGACTTCAGATCGTCGAAAATCTGTTCTGTGCGACTCATAATTCTTGATTATATTAAACTACAGGTAAATTAAAGTCAAATGTAATATTTTTGCCGGCTTCCCAAATCTAAACAAAGGTGTGACCGCAGTTTACTTAAAAAAATACTCTTTTAAAAAATACCGAACATATTACAGATAGCTATGATGCAAACCTACGTAATGGTGACTTTAAGAAGAATGGCGGTTGATTCAAATTCCTTTCTATGGATGCAAAGGCAAAACATAAAAAAAGTTTCTAAAAACCACCTCCTTCAATTGGTTTGATCATTTATGTTCGTTAATTGCTTCATTGTTTGGAATATCAACATTGATTTTCGAAGAGAGAGAGTTTAATATCAACAAAACTTTATTGAATCTCTGCAACAACGTAACCATTAAATAAGGAAAACAAATAAATAAGGATTAAAAGCTTGGAGTGGAGGCAGTGCCTCATGGATGTCGGTGGTTCCGCGGTGGTTCCCTCACATTCCGGTCGCTCTTCTCGTGGATGTGAACCGAATCGGCGAGCTCTACGTTGGCATGCAGAGCTGCATCGTTCGCATTCAGATGGGCCTCCTGGGCCGACAAAGTGGCCTTCTCCGCCGCATCCCGCGTCTCCTCGTAGTCCAAGCGAGCCGCATAGGCTTGCGATTCGGCGTGCTCCAGCTTGGTCTTGGCCTGGGCCACCATATCTATCTGGGAGGCCAGTTCGGCAGCCGCCTCGGAGGCCGCCTTCTGTGCCAATTCAGAGGCGGATTGGGCGTTGTTGAGAGCAGCGGTCAGGACGCTGACGTGGTTGATGGCCTGCTGGGCGGCGTACTGGGCCGCCTTCGCCGACCTCTTGGCCTGCTGCAACTGGGTCAGCTCGTTCTCCATCGCCTTGTGGGCCTCCACACTCTGATCCTCGAGGCGGTGGAGCAGCACCTCCTTGCCCTTCAGCACGGCCACTGCTGTGCCCGCTGCCTGAGCAGCCGCCTGGGCCAAGGTGCTCTTGGCCACATAGGAGGCCTGCTTCCCCGCCGCATTTTGGCTGGCCACCGCGGACAGGGCCTGGTCCGCCGATCCCTTGGCAATGCTGCGCAGTCCGTTGTCGGCCAAGTAGCCTCCTGATCCGCCTCCGCCGTGCACGGTGTGCACCACGTAGTCGGCGTGCGATAGCTTCACCTTGGCGGGCTCGAACTCGTCGTGGTTGATGGCCTCGTAGGTGTAGGGCGGCACCTCGTGCTCGACCACCGCCGTTTGCTGGGACACCGGACCCTGTCCCTTCGGCGCCGGCGGGGGAGGCGGCGGTGGCGGCACGTTGACAAGGTGGTGGTAGTGCGCCTCCTTCCGCTTCACCTTGCGACCCAGAGCTGGCATGGCCGCTAAATCACAGAAGGAAACCTGCAGGTTCAGCCAGATTTGCATGAGGAAGTGGTGTGTGCGACTCACCCAAAAACAGCGACAGGAGCAGCAGGTGGACCAGCGACGGCATCTCTGGCGATTATGCAACCAAGCAGCTGGCGAAAGGAAGCCTCCGAAACCGGAAGACTCGTGACGACCTTAGGCGTAAGACTTGTGTTCCTGTGTCGCAGAAAGCGATTTGATGCCTCCGGTCGATAAATTCGGCAAGAAAATGTAGTTAACTGGAAGTGATTAAGTGGTTTGCAGATTAAAATCTCTTTCAAAGGATTTATTTATACCCGAATTGTATATGGAAGTAACAGGTTTGATGATTTAATCACTTTAACTAATTTTGATGTAAGATATTTCCTTTCAGTTTTTATACTCCTTATTGTTAGTGATGTCGCAGTCACTCAATAAACACACATTTTTTTCTCTGTGCATATTAATCCCAACCGGTTGCGTATCTGCCTTGTCTATTAGCTAATACACAGCAGTGCACTTTCTTCGCTCTAGGATGACCGGCAAGTCGTTAGTGTGTCACGGACTGATATGTTCCACAGGAGAACCAGTTTGGCTTGAAGGCCAGCCAAACTGGACAGCTCACAAATCACTCGGTTATCACTCAGGCTGACGGAATGGAGGACACCAACGCACCTCTCGAGATTAGGTTCACCGCCGACACGAACGTCCTGTGCGGAGTGGAGTCGAAGCGCTTCTGATGACAGTGGAGGATCGAGCGCCGAACGGAGCCAGCTGCGATGGACTGGTTCGGTGGAAAACGCTTTTACTTTCGCACTCGGAAAAGCTGGGAGCGGCAGTGGGCCTAGTAAATCCGGTGGAGACTCGGCGACGATTGAGAGTTGGCCACCGGAGGCGCCATGTATTTATAAACGAGCTGGTCGGGTCGCCGAAGAAAGTGCAAACCCGTTGGCTCATGGTTTTCGTTGCACATGCACAAACAATAATGGTGCTGGGTCAATGCTACCAGGCTGCTCGATTGGATAATTTGTAGCCGCAATTATGGAAGAGCCTCTAATTGCCATGAGACGCTTTAAACGCCTGCTCCGGGTGGGATTGAATATGACGAAAGACCGTGTCCGATGATTGTTGGCTTCCTCGCGGATCCGCGTGTGAACACGGAGGCGTTAGTAGGAAGTTTGCTCGAAGTGTATTAAGTATACGCCCCGCGGTCTCTAAATTATGAATGATGACTTATTTAAATAATAATTTTATGGGTTTTGAATTACATATTCAGATCTGGTTTTCAGCTATACAAGTATACAAAATATAATTACAACAAACACTGAATAATACCTTAGTTAGTTAACGACTCTTTCTCCCCAAAAGAAGTATATGGTAGAGTAATCTTAGTGGGTACGTCCCCTCTTCAGACGTAGCAAGTGCCTCAGTTCCGCCCTCCTTCGCTCCCGAGTGGCCCTCTGCCTGGCTTCCTGGGCGGCGCAGGTTGCCTTTTCGGCGGCGTTCTTGGTTGTCTTGTAATCCGCCCGAGCCACTTCCAACTGACGGAGCAGCAGCTCCACCCGCTTCTTGGCCGCATCCACAAGCTGCTGCTTCTCTGCCAGCTCCTGCTGGGCTCCGTTGGCAACGAGCTCCGAGTTAACCACGTTTTCCTGGGCGTTCTTCACCGCCTGCGTAATGGTTTTCAGCTGATCCGCCGCCTGCTTGGCGGCCAGACCAGCGGAAGCGCTGGTGGCCTGGGTTGTCTGCAGCAGGGTGGTCTCCTCCTGAACCACCAGCTCTCCCTCCCGCACCTCGGCCTCCAGCTGCTCCACAATTTGCTGTTTGCCCGCCAGCGCCGCTTCTGCCGCCTTGGCAGCCGCCTGCGCCTTGTCGGCCAGCTGCTGCTTCACCTGGCGGGCTGCCGCCTCGCCGGCCTCCATCTGGGCATCGGAGGCATCCTTTGCCTCCTTGGCCGCCTTCTGGGCAATGCTGAAGGCCTTTACCTTGCCCTTCCCGTCCATCTTGAGAGGGTTTTTCTTTGGAGCATCGGATGAGTGTTTCGACTGGGAGTCATTCTCATCGCACTGGTCAGGCGTCAGGGCAGCCAATTCATTGGAGGACTGCTATTTATACGGATATATTTTTAATTGTAGGAATTTCTGCCAGCATTGTGACTTACCTGTGCCAACTTGTAGCCCTCAGCGAATCCAGTGAACAGGAGCCAAAGTAGGAAGACAATCGGTTTCATATTGATGCTTTGAGAAATTAAAAAACTTATAAATGTAGTACGACAGATATTGACACGACGTACGGCGTAGTCTGTTTTCCTCATTCCAAATGAGCCTTGAGATTCATGTAAGATGCGAGATTCCAGATGCTTTGCAAGTTCCTGCTTACGATGTTGCTGCTGGTAAACATCCTGCTGAGCACGGCGCACTCCGTTCAGAGGATCGATCCCCGTCACAAGCCAAAGCGAGTCTTCTGCAATGTGAACGTGAAGGCCAGCCAGATGGCCTCCAAGGCGGCCAAGGAGGCGAAGGACGCCAAGGACGCACTGCCGAAGGCCGCTTCGGCGGCGGGTCAGAGGGCCAAGGTCATTTTGGCCGATCGGGCTATGCAGGCTTCCAAGTCTGCGGAGGTGGTTCTCAGCGGAAAGAGGCAGGTGCTGGCTGAGTTAACCAAGAGTCTGAGCGAGACGAGGCGGGTCATCGAGGAGATCAAACGGGCCATTGCCTCCAGCACCTGCTCCATGAAGCAGGCCCAGCGAATACAGGCCCACGTCCAACGAACCGTGGCCAACATGCAGTGCCTTTTTAAGGAAATGACGGCAGCACTGGGGAACTTCCAAAGGGTGGCCCAGGGCGCCCAGAGGGAGGCCTTAGAGAAGCGCAGCCTTCTCGAGGCGGCCAAAAGACGACTGGACGAGCTCCACGAGTGCATGGAGCGGGCTCAGAAGGATCTGAATCGGAACCGGGAGAACGCCAAGAAGGCCAACGCCGCCGCCTGTGAGGCGAAGCAGAGGGTAAACACGTTACGCAAGCTGGTCTCCAAGATTAGGAGCCTGAAGCGAAAAGATATCCACAGGTTGCAGCGATTGCTGCGAAGGTAAATAAGGAAAAGAAGCAAATATCACTTAGTTGAATCATGTGTTTATTGGTCGAAAACATGTTTATATTTTGTTACAGAACACACTAAATGTCAAATTAAAAAATTATTTTACAAATTTCATATTTTCAAAATGAAAAAAACAAACAACATAGTTATTTGAACAGGACGGCTACTTCGCGAGGGATGGCAATTCTGGTTTCCGAGATTCAAACCAATGGGCAGTGATGCCAATAGGGGTATTTTTAGTACAAATCGTGGTTGGTCGACATCAAGAAGCCATTTTGCCATCTGGCAACACCGAACCGCATCGTGAGAAAGTTGGAAGAAAAAACGCCGCCTCCGCCGAAAAGTTAGTAAATATTTATAAAATACAGCCCAATCGCACAGAACTGAGCAGTGAAAATGGCGCGCAAGAATGCCCAGGCCGAGGACCTGTCGAACGTGGAGTTCGAGACTAGCGAGGACGTGGAGGTGATTCCCACCTTCAACGCCATGAATCTGAAGGAGGAGCTGCTACGCGGCATCTACGCGTACGGTAAGTGGTGTGTATACCTCCATGCTGTTCTCAGACTAACATAGACCTCTTGGTTCCTTAGGCTTCGAGAAACCCTCGGCCATCCAGCAGAGAAGCATTAAACCCATCGTCAAGGGACGCGATGTGATTGCCCAGGCGCAGTCGGGCACGGGCAAGACTGCCACCTTCTCCATCTCCATCCTGCAGAGCCTGGACACAACACTTCGGGAAACCCAGGTGCTCTGCCTCTCGCCCACACGCGAGTTAGCAGTACAGATCCAGAAAGTTATCCTGGCCCTTGGCGACATGATGAACGTGCAGTGCCATGTGTGCATCGGCGGCACAAATCTGGGCGAGGACATCCGCAAACTGGACTACGGTCAGCACATTGTCAGCGGTACCCCAGGAAGAGTATTTGACATGATCAAGCGACGCGTGCTCCGAACAAGGTGGGTTATACAACCGCAGTTTCGAGAAATATTCTAACTGGGCGTAATCTTATAGGGCTATCAAGATGCTGGTGCTGGATGAAGCCGATGAGATGCTCAACAAAGGTTTTAAGGAACAAATTTACGATGTATATCGTTATTTGCCACCTGCCACTCAGGTGGTGCTCATCTCGGCCACCTTGCCCCACGAGATTCTCGAAATGACCTCGAAATTTATGACAGATCCCATTCGCATCTTGGTCAAGCGGTAAGCTGGTTGTCTAATGATTCCATAATCCCAAGTATTAAAAAAACTTAAACCTTACAGCGATGAGTTGACGCTGGAGGGAATCAAACAGTTCTTCGTGGCCGTCGAGCGAGAAGAGTGGAAATTCGACACTCTGTGCGATCTGTACGATACTCTAACAATCACCCAGGCAGTCATCTTCTGCAACACGAAACGCAAGGTCGATTGGCTGACGGAGAAGATGCGGGAGGCCAACTTCACAGTGAGCTCTATGCACGGCGACATGCCGCAGAAAGAGCGTGACGAGATCATGAAGGAGTTCCGTGCAGGCCAGTCGCGCGTTCTCATCACCACCGATGTGTGGGCCCGTGGCATTGATGTGCAGCAGGTCTCGCTAGTAATCAACTACGATTTGCCCAACAACCGTGAGCTGTACATCCACCGCATCGGTCGATCGGGTCGTTTTGGACGCAAGGGTGTTGCCATCAACTTTGTCAAGTCCGATGATATCCGCATCCTGCGTGATATTGAACAGTACTACTCCACACAAATCGACGAAATGCCAATGAACGTGGCCGACTTGATCTAAACTACAATTCTATCTTTACTTTTATGTAACGCACCTTTTCCTAGCAGTAAAAACCAACAAATGAAGTAAATACAATTGAAGAGTATTTGGCTTTCAATAGACAACCAAAATCTGTATAATAATAAATAACACATAAGAATTTAATACAGAAACCAGTTTGTTTTAGAAATGGGAAAGGGGGTTTGAGGGGATGGGTGATTTACGTAAGTTCTTACGTCAAGGGGGCACTTACAATTAAAAGTTAATTAATGTTAAAGTGAGCTGCGCACTTAGCAATCTTTTTGACTTAAAATATTGCTAATAAACTAAAAATTGTCATAACCCTATTTACACGGTTTTACCTAATCAGATACCTAAAGACTTTGGTTTTGGCGAACGAAAAGCGCGCGATAAACGATAATTAGCACAGAACTCCGACCGGCTTGGAATATCTCAGCTTATAACCTCTGGCTTTTGGGGTAACGTGGGGACATAGGAGCTGGCCGTCGCAGTTGTCAGTGTGGCTTGGCGCTTTTTCTTTGTTTCATCTGATTTCAGGAGAGTGCCCAGCACAATGCCGAGGAACAGAATGAGGCCCACTTGGTGATTCGAGAAGAACTTCTTGGCACAGTCGCTGGGGTTGTCAATGTTGAGGGAGTAGATCTGGATGGAGAGGTAATTTAATATGTTTCTCATGGAATTACATTATAAATCGTTCACCTGCTGCACAAGGTGAGCACCCACTATTCCAACTGACGCGTAGTAAGGCAATGTTTGATCGCAAGCCCAGCCCGCTGCGGACAAACCCGTCAGCATGGCTGCCGTGAAGCCGGACAGCCAAACCTTGGTGTTCTCACCGAATCTCAGAGCCGTTGACTTGACGCCTATCTGCAGGTCATCCAACTTGTCCTGGTGGGCGTATATCGTATCGTACACAATGGTCCAGCAAACGCCAGAGAGGTAGAGCGGCAGACAGGCGGCCAGGTTCACACTGCCCTGGGTGGCGCACCAGCCGAGCAGGGCGCCCCAGTTGAAGGCCATGCCAAGGACCAGCTGGGGCCAGTAGGTGACCCGTTTCATCAGCGGATAGGTGATTACCAGCCCCAGCGAACTGGCTCCCAGCAATATAGACTGCCAGTTGAGCTGGACCAGCACGAGAAGACCCAGACTGAGCTGCGCCGAGAGAAAGACTATGGCATCAAACTGACTAATCTGTCCGGAGGCCAATGGTCGCATTTTGGTTCGCTCCACCTTGGCGTCGATGTCCTTGTCCCAGAGATCATTGATGGTGCAGCCCGCTCCGCGCATTATTAGTGCCCCAGTGCCAAACAATCCCAGCATGGTGAGATCGGGCCAGCATCCTGCATCCGCACTGAGGGCTATGCTCCAGGCGCAGGGCCAGAAAAGGAGGTAGGTTCCAATAGGCCGGTCTATTCGCATTAGTTGGGCATATGGCTTGGTGGCCGCCAGGAGTTCCTCCATCGGCGTAGAGGGCTTAACGGGGTCAATGGAGCTACTAGAGCTTCTGGAACTGATGTCCTGCATCTGCGGTTTGTCCCAGCGGCTCAAATCTCCAATCAGAACACGCGCTGGCAGCCGGAGCCGCATGTGTTTTGTTGTTGCCGTCGCTGCATAAGAGCTGCGGAAGTGTCTCGCACTCTGGAGGCGCAGCTGTCGTAGCGCAAACATGGCAATTTACCTTGCAGGAACACTTTGAATGGTTACAGCATTAAGTCACACGATTTGCGACGGAGTTTTTGTTAAACTCACGAAAAAAAATGGCAAGATTTTGGTGGAGCTTTGGTTGGGGTTGTCACAGGGCTGCCACCCGGGCGAAAGGTGAGCATAACGCCACCAGATTGCTGGAAAGTATTTGCCTCTCATAGTGCTGCCAGACAAAGGCGCCAAAAATTAAAATTTTTAAAAATTCATTAAAAGATTGATAAGTTTTCGGGACATTCTGTCAAGGTTTATGTTAAGTTAAAGCTAGTTAATAAATTATTTAATATTGTTTTAAACTTAATTAAATCTGAATTGGACTATGCTTGGAGTTTTTGGCAATGAAAAATTAGTAAACGAAACGGGTCCTGTATTTTCTCCTCAAATGGGTGTTACGGAAAGCTTTCGAAATCAACTAGTAAACCAACCAATTACCCCTCTGCAATATCGTTAGGATTTGCACCCGGCACAAACTTTTCAAAATTGGCACACGGCGGAGAAATGTCCGTAGGTTTTTGCACACGGCCGTAGAAGATTTGCGCACGGTCATCAATTTCAGCGACATTCGGGCCCAGTTAGAAATAGAACAGTTGGAACTAACACTCTAGGAAAGCCAAGTGGCCTAAGGCAGACCTCCGGCAAACGTCCGTCCGACGGTTGCTATCGCTCCGGCGGTTAAACCACCTATGTATGAACGTATACGGCCAGTACCATAAAACCGTACTCGAAGAATCGAAAGAATGGAAAAATTTCGACATCATGTATTACAGCAACAACGTATATTTTTTATAAACCCATGATCGATTATCTGGATTGCAATAAATTCTGCACTCAAATCGATTGTTGAACCTTTGTCATGACCCCATAAATTAAATTGCAAACCGTAATGAAGAGATCAGTGATCAAGGATGGACTTTATCTTTTGAGATAAAAACCTGTAATAGATAATAATATGAGTATCTTTTGTTTTGCTTTACACCTATGAGATTCGAATGCATTCGCTTGGAGGGCTTTATCTAGGCCCATTTCTGGGGGCCACTATCGTTGGTATCGGCGCTACTGGCTGATAACGAACCTTTCCCATTTCTCATAGATAAGCACACGTCCCATCGCCGCTTCGGCGGGATTAGGGTAGATTTTCTTTAAAAAACCACTCGCGAGCAGCGAGTTCCAAGCAGTCAACGCTCTGCTCTCAGCACCTCCGCAGGTCTAGCTCTTATCACAGTGCGTCCCCGATCGGCAGTTGGATTTTCCACTTCTGTTTTGCTGTATCTGTATCTGTATCTGTGCCAACAAACAATAACAATCCAAGATGGATCACGACCACGATCACGGATCTGACGACTCCACCAGCACGGAGAAATCCTGCCCCATGATCATGGTGGTGAGTACCGCGTTACACAACCCCCAATATCTGATTCCACAAATACAAAATCACTTACCCGCACGCTAATCGCTGTAATTTTTTAAGTCACTCATCCAGTTTCACCGCGTGAGATTCAGCCGGAGAGCAAATATCTCGCGCGACGAGGAATTTTAATTCTCTGGCAAGTCACTCCCTAGTATATATACTTATGAGTCGAGCAGCACAATGATTTATTTGCTCTCCTGCTCTTTTTCGGTCGCTCTCAAAGTATTTGAATAAAATATGCTCTCGTACAGGGTGTTTTGTTCGAATTAGGTGACAACAATTGACAAATTTTCGGCTTTCTAAATGTCTTGTGATCACTTTAGAAATATTAGAGAACTAATTAATGTATAATATAATTTCAAATTAACCCGTTTTGTTTGTTTTTAGTTCCATGGCGGACACTGCGAACGGATTTTGTGGCGAGGCTGGGTGGCTTCCACGGTGTGGGAGTTCGTCCTTTCCGCGCTGGCCATCTTCCTGGTGTCCTTCCTGTACGAGGCCCTCAAGTTCCTGCGCCAGCAGCTTGCTCGCCGGGAAGCCCGCAAGGAGAGCGAGCGACTGGCGGCGGAGCAGCGCAGGAAAGCCGAGACGCCATCGACCGGAGGATGCTGCTCGGAAACCCCACTGGCGGAGCCCAGGGAGCAGACTTACTGGCAGCTCCTGTTCGCCTCGTCGCACATCCTGCAGTCGCTGCTCAACCTGCTGCAGATCGTCATCTCGTACCTGCTCATGCTGATCTTCATGACCTTCAACTACTGGCTCTGCCTGGCCGTCATCCTGGGACTGGGTCTGGGCTACTTCTTCTTCGGGTGGAACAAGAAGAATCCGGACGAGAGCGAGTGCTGTCCCTAAGAGCAGGATGTTCCATCGTTATTGTTAAGCCCCACAGCCCTTGTCAGTTTTGGCTCACGCACATCAGACAGTCCCGTCCCCAAAGTAACCACAGAAATTGTCTAAAAATACAATTTATTCGATAGTTACACTTGGTTTAATCGTAATTGATGTAATCGTAGCATAAATTAGTCAACTAGTTTACTTAGTGAGCATATTGTACAAATAGTAGTTATGAGAACAAGAACCTATACAATCGATTAACGTACCACTCAATACTTTCCATTTAACAATAAAGGTTTATTTCGTAACTTAATCTTGACTGCTGAAAGCACAAACAAACCAATTCGAAACGCAAAAAAAATAACGCAAGTGAAAATCTCTAGGATTACATGAAATTCGTAATGATATGGGGATAATGCCAGGTCTGAGTCCCGACAGTCCACAACTCACATTTGATGGCATATCCATTGGCACTCACTAGTTACTTGGAAACATTTTAAAATTATTTTGTAAGCTTTCACCTTAAGTAATCACATATAGTAAATTTTTCTTGGCAACTTTAAACGACTGGTTGATATGGGAAATGTAACTAAACAAACCTTGAGCTTTTTTAAGTAATCTTCTAGACATTCTTCGCTGCATTTTATCTATTTACATTTGCTTAGTCACAACGAAATGTTTACAATCTTTTAATTTATACAACAATTCCTGGGAAATGAGTTCCGTTTGCTACTTTTTATTTAAGAACTGATTACTTTATTCGAGTGATAAGTGAGTGCCGTGATATGACCATCCTTAACTAGCGCTTAGAAGATAGTAACCTAGACTGAACAACCGCGATCAAAAGTAGCTAGACCCGCAACCAACAGTCAGTGGACTGCCCACCGCCCACTCATAATCCCGTGGCTCCGGCGGCCATCATGCCGCCGTGGTGGTGGTGGTGGTGCATTCCGCTGTTCTGGAAGTACATGTAGTAGTTGTACGGCGACTGCTGGCCCGCCCCGCCCTCGCAGTCGAGCAGCGGCTGACCGCCCGCAGTTCCCGCCACGGGGGAGGGGGTCATCGGGAGCGGGGACACCGTGCTGCCCATCCCGCCCACTCCGACGCCCACCTGGCAGCTGGCCCTCAGTGCAACGGCCTGGTGGTGGGCCAGGATGTCGCTCACCGAGTGCGAAGAGGGCCAGTGGGCGGCGGCGGCGGCGGCCACGCTCCGCAGCTGGTGGGGATGCGGCCCGGAGCCCTGGCCACCGGCTCCCTGCGGCGGAGAGGGACTCCCGCAGGACACGGCCTTCATGCTGTAGGCGGCCGCCGCGCTGTACGGCTGGTAGATCGAGTTGTACAGGTGGGCGTGGGCATGGGCGTGGGCGTGGACGTGGTGGGCACTGGCCGCAGCCGCCGCCGCCGTCTGGTGGTGGTGGTGCGGATGGTGCGGGTGGTGCGCTCCTCCTCCGGGGTTGCCCAGGTTACCCAGATTTATGTTGTTCGAGGCACTGCCTCCGTTGTTCTGACCGCCGTTGCTGGACACACTACCGCCGCCACTGCTGCTCCCGCTGCCCATCACCGCACCCGGAGCATGCTGGTGGCCCAGGCTGCCCAGCTTGTTCCGCAGGATCCTCGAGATGGAGCTCACGCTGGGCACGTTCGTCTTGTCGCAGATGCCCTCGCTGAGCAGCCGGTCGCGGATCTCCCAGGCGAAGATGCCCGGGTCGCGCTGCTTCAGCTCCCGGATGTAGTTGACCACCTTGGGCGTGGTCACCCGCGGCTTGGAGCCCCCGATGGCCCCCGGCAGGATGGAGCCCGTCTCGTGGTACCTGGCCAGGATCTTCGACACGCACCCGTGGCTCACTCGCAGCTGGCGGGAGATGTCGCAGGGCCGGATGCCCAGGCGGGCCAGCTCCACGATCCGCATCCTAGTCGCGTTCGGCAGCGGACGCCCGTTGACGAAGACGCCGCCCAGCTGGTTCACCTCGCCATACTGCGGACACTGCGACTCTGCAAGGGAACGGAAACGGGTTCTGAATTAGCCAAAGTGGTAAAATCACCAAGGAATGGGGAAGATTCGCACCGACACTTAAGTACTCTTACGAAAAGGAGGGGATAATTTAAAGAGGTAAATATAAATAATGTTTCAATAAAATTGTAAAAAATTAAACCTACCTAAACGGAAAGTTAATTATCATTAATTCAACAAAGACTTTGATCCTCGGAAATGTTTAATCTCCTACTCAATGTTGCCAACTGCATTATCCGATAGCATTTCCCGATTCCCAGCATAGAGTACGAACAAAGAGCACTCCCTGGGATTGAGAAGCGAACAAAAGCACATTTGCGTCTAATTAGTTTCAGTGGCAAATGAGTGAGTGAGCCGAGTGGCCAGAGAAGGGGTTCTGGAAAGGAATGGAGTGGAGGGCCGAGATGAGTGGGTCGGGGTGCGTCCGTTGGTTCGGCTGAAAACCGCACCATTTGCTTCTCAGAACTGCGGATGTGGGTGCCCCGGGCATCTTGCCGCAGATTGCGACTGGGAAGGCACAACTTGAATGCCCGGAACGTGCGGAAATGCACTTTGAGCGATGACGCAAAGATTTCCCCTTGGCGCATAGAACACCACCTAGGGATAGGTGCACATCGACATCGGTCCATTCTATTCTTATTCGCTCTAAGACTGGAATTAGCAGTGAGTGTATATAAACCCCTTAAAACCATAAACAGAGCAATTAAAAATCCCTGTGAAAAGGACAATGTGTCAACTAACACGCCCCTTAACAACAGTCTGCAATTTTCCTGCAGAATAATTGTTTCCTTCCCACAATTGAGTCATTTGCTACGAATAATAATTATACTTTTTGGCGCATTTTAAAAACCTATATAAACGCAGCTTATGCAAAACTTAAACTTCAGTCGGTCAAAGTCAACGGGTCAAAGTTCAAGTGAAAATTAACTACCCAAAATCAAGAATGATCTTCAAGTACATCCAGGAGCCAACAATCGGAGCTTTATTCCGCTCGCGGGATTCGCTGATTTACTTGCACAGGTCCATGAGTCAATTGGGATGGAGACTGCCGCCAAGAAGTAAACCCTTCTGGTGGCTTTACTACCTCTGGTGCTTGGCGGTCATAGTACTCGTCTTCATCTTCATTCCCTACGGACTCATAATGACGGGAGTGAGGGAGTTCAAGAACTTCACGACCACCGATCTGTTCACCTACGTTCAGGTGCCGGTCAACACCAACGCCTCCATAATGAAGGGCATCATCGTGCTGTTCATGCGGGGAAGGTTCCTCCAGGCCCAGAAGATGATGGACCAGATGGACGTCCGCTGCACCAGGATGGAGGAGAAGGTGCAGGTGCACCGATCGGCGGCCTTGGGCAACCGAGTGGTGGTGATCTACCATGGAATATACTTCGGTTACCTAACCATGGCCACAACAGCAGCTTTGGTGATTGGAAAGACTCCGTTTTGCCTGTACAATCCACTGGTCAACCCCAATGAACACTTCTACTTGGCCACTACAATTGAGTGCGTCACAATGGCCGGTATTATCTTGGCGAACCTTATTTTGGACGTCTATCCAATCATTTATGTGGTTATATTGCGAACCCATCTTGAGCTCTTGAGCCAGCGAGTCAAGAACCTGCGATCCGATCCGGACAAAGATGATGATCAGCATTATGCGGAGTTGACGGAGTGCGTCAAGGATCACAAGCTGATAGTTGAGTAAGGAAGGATAAACCATTTACTATATATAGAATACATATCTATATTTTTCTTCTGAGTAGATATGGAAACTCGCTGCGTCCCATGATCTCGGCCACGATGTTCATTCAGCTGCTCTCCGTCGGACTTCTTTTGGGTTTGGCAGCGGTGTCCATGCAGTTCTACAATACCATATTGGAGCGGGTAGTCTCTGGGGTCTACACCATCGCCATTCTTACCCAGACCTTTCCCTTTTGCTATGTCTGTGAGCAGTTGAGCAGCGACTGCGAATCTCTAAGTAACACATTGTTCCACTCCAAGTGGATCGGAGCTGAGCGGCGATATAGAACCACGATGCTGTACTTCATTCACAATGTCCAGCAGTCGATTCTGTTCACAGCTGGCGGAATATTTCCCATTTGCTTGAACACCAATATTAAGGTAGGATTATTATAATATAAAATAATTTGGTATTACTACTTAAACTTTCAGATGGCCAAGTTCGCTTTCTCCGTGGTTACCATTGTGAATGAGATGGACTTGGCAGAGAAATTGAGAAGGGAGTAGGATGGAACTATTTTATCAGTTAGCTTGAAGTAGTTTTAATGATTATTATTCACCTAGCAGCACTAAGATTTCGTTATTTGGCACAAACATTAAATAAAGTACCTAATCAAAGCAAGTACAACTTCAGTTATGTCTCTTCGTAGTAAACTAGTTTTAAGAGTTAAGTGAAATCATTGCATTTCGCTTTGCATTACAATGAAAAGCAAGAGGCCTACGCAAATGGCTTTCCATTATCCGACGGTGAATGGGGAAGCCCTTATCTGGAGACTCTGTTCTTGGCACCTGCCACTGGACCGCTCGCTCCGTCTGGAAGTGCCGTTCGGGCCATTAGCATTGTGGGCAAATAGAGGCACTGCTGCACATCTGCGCCGTCCTCTAGTTTCGAATCGAGTTGCACAACAGCAACTCCGAGACCGAGAGCAACACGTTCTGGGGAGTGCAGCGCCATAAAACCACAATGGAGCTCCCGGGCTTACTCGTGCCTGCGATCTGCAGAAGTCAGAAGTCAGAAATCCGAAATCAGAAATCAGGAAGGAACCGGACAAAGAGCGATAATCTACGGGGAGACGGAGTATATCGACCTCGGTAGTGCCCCATCCATTCAGGAGGGCATTTTGCGACTTACAAGCTCGTTTTCCCGCCGCTCGGATATCGCATTACCATCCCACTTGTTGCCCGACATCGACATCGACATAGAGATCGACATCCAGATCGAGATCGACATCCACTTGGACTTCACAACCCCACCGATCCCGAACAAATGATCCGCGGCAGTGTCGAATTTCGTGTACATAGTTAATGGTTATGGATTTGCGCACTTGTCAATTGCAGTTCGATCATTGCCAGCAAATGCACCAACTCGGGGTCGGTTTTTAGCCCCAGACAAAGCGAACGTGCAGCTGCATAAATAGGAAAGCCATTCGAAATAGAGGCAATCGACATGGGTATCTCCCCACATAAAAGGTAATTGCATTAGATGGGGACTTCGGTTCGACCAGGAGGTACTTATTGCCAACCCAAAAGCACATACAACAACGTAACGTTAGTAAAATCTTCAAAAAATATTATCAAACACTTCTCTTGCCAATAAAAATATTATTCCTATTGCAATATGAAACACTTTTCAGTTATTCTCGTATGTGTAATAATTCAATCTACTGTGCCTTAAAATCAATGTTATATTGTCTACGTGTCTAAGCCACTCAAAACGCATCATAAATTATCATAACTCGATGCACCCTTCAGTAAACAGCACAAAATATTACAAAATACTGAACTTAAAGTTCTATATAAGAGGGTTTTAAAGCCAAACTAGTCAGTTGTAGTTAGGATGTCGGCCAGAAGGCATATACTATGTATACTGAGCTGCTGCCTACTGCTCAGTTTTCTTGGCATTCAGGCTAGATCCTTGGAGGAATCAGCTGTTAAAACGGTTAGTGGAATTTATTTCTTATAAATCTTATCCTCTAAGATATTAATTTTAGAAGCGAGACATCGATTGGTTGACTGAACTGGAGGACATATGGAAAGACAGTGAAACCGATGTCGAGGAATCATCTAACAAAACTGTAAGTGGGTTTAATTTCAAATGAATCTAAACCTCTAAGCCAGTCTTTTTAGAAGCGAGACACCGATTGGTGGTCCTTTCTGGAGGACTTAGTCGATGACAGTGACAGTGAAACCGATGACGTCGAAAATGAAAACACATGTATGTTGTGGAGTAGCTTTGAGATAATGGAGTATTCATAAATGTTCAATTTTTTAGTGGTCTGTCGAAACTGTACGGTTTTAGTTCAAGCTGCGAACGCCACAACGCCAGGAACTACAGCTCCTCCGGTTCCTCCTCCAGGACCCGCTACGGCTCCTCCAGCCCCAACGGTTCCTGTTGCTCCAGCGGTCCCTGCTCCTCCAGCGGTTCCTGTTGCTCCAGCGGTCCCTGCTCCTCCAGCGGCTCCTGCTCCTCCAGCGGTTCCTGCTCCTCCAGTGGTTCCTGCAGCTCCAGTGGTTCCTGCTGCTCCAGCGGTTCCTGCTGCACCAGCGGTTCCTGCAGCTCCAGGAGTTCCTGCTGCTCCAGCAGCTCCTGCCGCTCCAGCGGTTCCTGCATCACCAGAAGCACCAGCAAATCCAGCAGCAGCCCCAGCACCTGCACCTCCTCCTTTAGGATAAGAAACCACCGGGATATATCTTAACACATCCATAACCATAGCTTTTAACTGGGATTTGGTATACTATAAGCTAACATTATCGGTGGAGGAACAACCCGCCTCGAATAAAACTGCGTTCATTCAGTTTAAGCCATAAATCTGTGCGGCCCCCGTTCCCTTGAAATAGGAATTTTCAAGATGTTGCAACGCAATTGTCTTGACATAAGTCACAACAGATCGGCTGGCACTCGCCGCAGACCCACACGCATTGAGTTTTGTGGCAGGGGACTCATGACATCCATCCGGGGAACAAGTCGGTGGTTTTTTGTGCTCGGTCTTTGAACATTTGTGCCAGGGAAAGAAGCCACTTTGGTTCTCCGCGACAGGGAGGGCGCCATTCCCAGCTTGACATTATGTTTGACATTTGTAATCTCGTGATCGTTAATTATTTACGAATTGAGTTACAAACAGAGGGGATCCTCGGCAGGCATCGCCAGCCAGGAAGACAAGAAGTGGAGTCAAAGATCACGGAGACGACATATTCGCCACCTCAGAAGAGGTTGTTATAAAAATAAGGAAACAAACAAATTACATTCTCTTAAAAAGTAAAAGATACTAAGCGGAAGATTCATCACATTTCTTTTATCTTGGATAAAGTCTCACATCCCCAGAATTTTCGTATTTTTTGTTGCCTTCTGTTACTTTTTATTGTAATATTTGCCTCGGCATGTAAACTATTCGAAAAATGTCCAGTGAAGGCTGCAATTTGTTGGCTTCTTCGAGAACATTATCTCCGAGTGCTTGACTTTTGCGCCGAGCGTCCATAAATTTGTCTCAACAAATACTTTCTAGTTGTCGCTGACAAAGATCGACGCTCTTGTTTTCTCCACGGGACTTCTTGTTTGGATCTACTGAAGATAGCTGCGTGGTTTTAATGGCTTTTCAAATACGCATGACATCAATTTTGGGCAATTACCAGAGATTAATGGCGGCCAAAGTTGAGCACTTGGGCTCAATTATGATCTGTGAGTTATACTGCCGATAAGAATCGAACCTCCGCCTAGCCGAGAAATTGGAAAATTAATTGAATCGACCAACTATCGGCTGGCTGCCCGATTGGAGAATGTTCTCCGAGATGCTGATACTGATTCGACTCGCCTCCCAGTCGGTAGTCATCTTCAAAGTTGTGAGTAAGTTTTGCACTTGTGATTTATGGCAGCCAATCGACATCCGGCCAGAATAAAATGCTTCCCGCCACATGCAAATTAGTCACGTAATTCCTATTAGAGCGGCACTTCGATTCCCCTTTGAGCGGACTGATGAGATGAGTCAAGAGCAAACGTTTTGCAACGTGCCCAGTGTCCAAGGCGAATTTGATAAATGTTGACCACGACAGTAGTGAGCCATAGTTTACAAGAGATATACGACCAAGGAAAACATCTGCATACATTAATAGTTAGATTAACTGCTGAAATGTTATCAAGTAAAGCAGCTTCCAAACAAATTGATTTAAAAAGGTGGAAATTGAATATATCCTTAAGAATTTCTCAAGGCAACAGTTGGTTTATTTTCCCGGTGTGGCTTTAGTTCAAAATCATTTCATCAAACCCCTTTTCGGGGGATCACAAGTGCAACATTTGGTTGCGCCTCTGCACGGCTACTTGGGCGATGCGTCGGCACTGATTGTTGGTCTTATTAAAGGTGCAAACATGCCACCGGTGTGGAATCGGTAGTGGCAGTGGCAGTGGCGGAGGAGTTGGAGGTGGGCAGTCGAATCGAATACCCAGTGTCGGTCACGATCAGAGGAGCAGTGTGTTTTAGGTGCTACCCAGGTCGCCGTCGCATTTCGAGTTTGTTTGGCTTGTTTGTTTGCCTCCGGGAGAGAACCTTCGAATGCTAAGAGGCGGGTTCTGTTTGTTTGAATTTAAGCAACGCCTGCTGCGGACGATCAAGTCGACTGGGCTACTTTAGCTCTAATAAGGATCCTTCCTGGCTTTCTGGCTCTCCGGCATAGCGACTTTCCGCTAGTCAGCGCTTAATCAAGGCAAACAAACTGGCATCGCGACCCAATCCATCCGATTCCAACCAAACCGATCCGATCCGATCCGATCCGATCTGAGCAGCTTCTGTTAATGAAAGGCAAACAGCTGGGGAATTGTGAAGAGGTCGGGCAAACAGCTTAAAAAATCATAAACTCTGAAACGAAATGGAGACAGGGAAGCCGAAGCAAAAGGAGAAGGAGACTCAGACTGAGTCTGATTCTGCCTGATCGGTAAATATTTGCCGATGGATTTTCGTCTCGGGACTCGAAGTCCTTTCGCATCCCCGGCGGAAACTGGAAGCGGACTCGGATTCGGTAGCCGACGCTTCTGTATCTGTGTGCCTCGGTACAAATGGCTTACAAATGGCTCTGTTTGCTTTGAAATCGTACACTTTTACTTAGTTGGTCACGCTTGGCTCGCAATCCGAAAACAACCCGCAGAGAAATTGTCTCTGGCGATAATCGAACGGTTTCTCAACAGCCTTTTAAACAAATAGTTAAAAAAATACAAAATTTTAGTTTAAAAAAATCGAAAGTTGCATAACAATTTTGATGAATAAATCTAGCGATATCGGTCTAAAACTCTGATCTTTTCCGAGCCGCTCCCGTTTTTGGACCCGTTGGACCCTTTTCCCTCGCTTTCAACATGCCATAAAAAGCTCAATTAAAATTGTCTATATGGCAAAATTATAATTCATAAATTCTGGGAAATTGCCGAATACAATGGCGACCACTGTTTCAACTGGAACTCCGCCAACGATCAGCAAATTACAAACGCAATCCAGAAAGAAATGTCGGCTTTAATGTCCCTCTGTTTGAGGGAGTTTTTTATTTCTGGTTCTTCTTCT